TTTGATATTAGGCTATGGACAATTGCCATGCACGAATAGTTCAGCCACTGGACCCTTTATCTTAAAGCAGTATATATTCACCGAGATCATCACGTTATGATGTCTGAGTGACAGAGAGTGAGTGAGTGAGTGAGTATGGTTTTACGCCGCTTTTAGCAATTTTCAGCAATTCCACGGCTGGGGACACCAGAAATGGGCTTCACACATTTTACCCATGTCGGGAATCGAACCCGGGTCTTCGGCGTGACGAGCGAACGCTTTAACCACTAGGCTACCCGACCGCCCCCTGAGTGACATAGAACCGCGGTTGCTTTTCACCATACAGGGGCGGTCGGGTAGCTTAGTTGTTAAAGCGTTCGCTCGTCACGCCGAAGACCTGGGTTCGATTTCCGACATGGGTACAATGTGTGAAGCCCATTTCTAGTGTGCCCCGCCATGATATTGCTTGAATGTTGCTAAAAACGGCGTAAAACCATACTCACTTACACCATACATATTTGTTGAATTTATACATGAATTAAAATTCTGAATTTACTTTCAAATATCATTAAAATCGGCACTTTCAAATTCCTGTGTTATTACTCAATTCAACTCAGATGTTTATTCATTTTGTTCCTCACTCTGTGAAGGTTCTCACGTTGATCTCACACAAAGTATAAGCTTATTGTTAATTATCATTGCATATTTTTCTGTAGAAGTGTATATACAGGTTCTTCTTAATCGAGCTTTGCCAAACACGCCCTTACAAGAGCGGCTCTATGAATATAGTTTTATCAGTGTCAGAAAAAAACCGTTAAAGAAAGCAGACACTAACAGAGATACATAGAGTCCACGGGTAGTCTGTCACTTCGAATTATTAAAAAAGCAACAAATTGATTCATAAGAAAACGTACATGTTTTATGAAAATGCGTTTAAATATAGACATGAAAGCATCAATCTCGCTATACACATAATCTGATACACAAACGAAACAAGCATATTTTTCCAAATTAATACAAATCGGAAGTTCGATTATATAAACTGTTGGGCAAGAGTATACACTTGAAAACTGAATGTGACCAAAAAATTCCAAACGGTTTCAAAACGTTGCAAGACTGAAAACAGTCATCGAAACACTGCAAAGGTTCAAAACACAATTGATACCCGTTTCAAGTACACCACCGTCAAATAACCCATTTAACCATCATCGAACATGGGTGTATACTATATTTTGCCCGCAGTTCATATACAACATAAAAGAAACATTTAAAAAAAAATAATATAAATATGTAGAGGTTGTAAAATGTATTAAAGATTGATCGAAAAAATGGACAAAATCATGTACGCACCAAATGAGTGTTGTAATATATATAAACATTATTCCAAAACAGTATTAAATATAAGTAATTTTCAAATACGCTTACCTGGGCTTATAGTGGGGACGAAATGTAACGTATTTCAACTTCTAATGCTTCTGCCGTATATATCCCCACTCGCAGACCTGATGAAGAGTCGTCAATTTCATCAATGACAGTCGCTCAGCCTCCCCCGTTAAACTGATAGCTATCGTGCAACCGACCTCCCACTTCCACTCCCCGCTTGAAACATTCAGATAAATGATTGATTATATATGCCCACATGCATCAATCGTGTTGCCCGCGAGAGGACATGGCACCAAGGAATCAGAGAGCTATATTAAACGTCTGTCGGCGACGGTGGTTGGCTTCAGAGCATAACGTATGTGCGTATTCGTGTCTGTAACATCATTTAATCGGCCAATCCTTTAGACATGACAGTGAACTGTTTCCACGATACATGCAGCGAAGTAATAGGAGATCCGCAATTAAAATTATTTATATATTTCATGTTTGTCTGTGTAAATTATTGTACTTGTAGGGCGTATATTTCATCCCATAATATTCATCATGTCTCATTTGTGTTTGGTGTGATTTCATGGTTTTAATGCGTTGACGTAAAATTATGGCGGGTCCGTGACTGGGCTCCTGTCTACACGAAGCGCAAAGCTTGCTGCTCGAACCAACAATGGAACCAGTTTAGGTGTTCAAACTCTTCCCTTAATATGGCGGAATGGGGCGTAAAATTCAAGTAAAATGTTCAAAAGGAACACGTTTAAAGTTGACCGGCGGATCGCAATGTCAAAGAAATATATGGCGCATATACCACATACAAGCTGCGTATCAAATTCATATTTTGATACAGGAATGTCAACATTGTCCATTATATTTGTACATGTATATTGTTTAAGGTGAGGTGAGGTGAAATTGGGTTTAACGTCGCGACCCAGATTATTGCACTTATATAGCGACGTGCATGCACATGTGTGTGTGGCTGCTTGTACTAGTACGGACTGATGCCGATTTATAGTGCTAGCACATTGAGATACCATGCCGCAGTTTAACATGAATACCCCACTCAGACACAGTGCACTGACTCCGAGCCGACCAGTCCTTGTTTTACCCCCTTAATGCCGCGCGTCAGACAGGGTAACAACAAGTACCATCTTTTAACGTCTTTTGGTATGACGCGGCTGGGGATCGAACCCCGGACCTTATACCACATACTAGCTGCGTATCAAATTCATATTTTGATACAGGAATGTCAACATTGGCCATTATATTAGTACATGTATATTGTTTAAGACAATATATAAGTACATTGTATATGTTTTAAGTTACTGGTTCGAATCACCATATGGGTACAATCATCTTTCCGAGGCAAGAGTGTCCAATATAAAGCAAGAAAACACTTATTGTCTGTAATCGCATATAAAGTAATATGATATAAGTTGTTTTGTTTCTTAAGCCATGAAGAAATGCAGTAAGCAAGTTGCAAACGGTACTTTCCTATAAGTGGAGACAGCCTCCGTGGTCTCGTGTCTGTTTGGAGAGTGGTCGGGGATTCGATCCCCGGCCGCGTCATGCCAAAATTTGAAAGATGGTACTTGTTGTTACTCTGCCTGGCGTTCAACATTAAACAGGAGCTAAAACAATGACGGGACTGTACGGTATATTGTGTCTGAGAAGGGTATCCATGGTAAACTGCGGCGTGGTATCTCAGTGGCTAGCACTATTATCGGCACACACCAGTTTTCGAAATACCTGCCTGCCCGACCGTCCGAGACGGGTTGATTTCAACTCGGGCTGTCAGATTTTCAAATCCCCCTGCCCGACGGTCGGGTTATATTTCATAGGTGAAAATATTCTAAATATTTCCTGATGATAAGCATTAATTCACATGTAAAGATGAGTCATAAAATGTAACCAAAAGGAAACGCCGTTAGCTATTAGACAACCTAACATTTAGCGAAGCGCTTATGCTACAAGCAATCAGTTTTCATATTTTTAATTAAATTATCCTGAGAAACATATGATTATAGTGGGAAGGCAGGTTTTGGTCAGGGCTGGCAAGTATTTCAGCTAGCCAGTCCTGTGGTCTGGCTGATTTTTTTGGGAGTTTCATACCCTGCACACACACGTGCATGCACGTCGCTATATAAGTGCAATAATCTTGAGGCTAGCACTATAAAATCGGCATTAGTTAAGGGGATAAGCTTTTTTCGTTTTTGATTGTTCAGATGATACTACATGTACAACAAAACACCTTTATACCAAAAACCATGTTGGCTGGTTTAATCTGATAATCCGATTATATAGTTTGACCACGCAAATCCTAACGATGTGATAACGTTGATACAGCACACTACGGTATGATGCGAAGATGTGTAAAAGTTGCATCTGGTACTGCGTTGTTTTTCTTATCTTTTTCGAAGGGATTTTTTATCATCATGAAATTAAGATTAAATGTTGTCTTCAAAGTTTCTGCATGATCTATATAATGTTTGTTTGTTTGTTTGTTTGTTGCTTAACGCCGCATTCGGCAATATTCCAGCTATATGACGGCGGTCTGTAAATAATCGAGTCTGGACCAGACAATCCTGTGACTGAAATCATGAGCATCGAACCTCGTCATTGGGATACGATGACATGCATAAACCAAGTCAGGGAGCCTGACCACCCGAGCATAGTCGCCTTAAACGGCAAGCATAGTCGCCTTAAACGGCAAGCATGAGTTGATGAACGCCTATTCTAACGCGGATCTACTGAGTTAAACACAAATACACAGATGATTTGACCAAAGAAGCATTAGATAATCATGTTTTCATAACGATTAAGGAATATATATACACAAAGAGTCTCCGATACAACTACATCTCCTGCGCGCGCGCGTTTGCTGTGTATGTGTGTGTGTGTGTGTGTGTGTGTGTGTGCGCGTGCGTGCGCGCGTTTGCTGTGTGTGTGTGTGTGTGTGTGTGTGTGTGTTTACATGTATTTGTATGAATTGATGGTTTAATATTGTAGTTGTATATGTAATATATTATTATTCATGTAAAAAAAGGTCTCTCATACCCTTTACATTATAATTATCTCTTTCGTGCGTAAGTGCGTGTGGAATATTGCACAAAATTGCATATTTTATAAAAGCGCCAGTATGTTATAAATATATATCTGTAAATATATGTCATATACATATATATATGTTGATACATGTCATCGTATCCCATTTGCCTAGATCGATGCTCATGATGTCAATCACTGGATCGTCTGGTCCAAACTCGATTATTTACAGACCGCCGTCATACAGCTGGAATATTGCTGCGTGCGGCGTTAAACAACAAACAAACAAATTCTTGACACAACATGAAAACGTGTTTACACAAGAACAAAATGACACCCTCATTGTCTCTAGGTAACTTTAATTTTGTGACTCTCCGGGTGGTGTTGCAATTAAAATTAAACCTCTGTAATTCTCCTAAAATGTGGCTACCCGTTGAGTAGGTAAAACGGCTGACCGGAGTATATTTCGACATAACTCCCGCCTGTCAAAACATGTTCTACAAAGGAGTGCTAATTTGATTGACATCAAACACCAATTACTTCCCTTTGAACGGGATTTTTCGATTCGTTATATTTTCTGAAGGCTTATTCAGGTCAGTGTACCCGTACGAAGTTTGACGTAAGTTCCGGGTGGATTTATTTATGTCGAAACAGCTCGCTTGGTCAGCTCTACCAGGTGTAGGTGTACTAACGGACGATTATTGTCGTGGAGGGACGACGTGTTTACAATGCAGTGAACGTGAACGTTTGTCAAGGTAAGACCGGTCGGGTGTGTGGGAACGTACAGCGCTTTAAACATAGTTGCAAAACTTCTGTTTATCAAAAGTACAGTCTATGATTCACGTTAGTGTTAAAAGTTGAAATTGAGGAAACGAACTCGGTCCGTACATAACAACGCTGACTACGAATATTAATCAGTTAATTTGGAAATTAAAAACACGACTCTTTTTCATAACAATAATACTTTTCTGGTCGTAGTATATATATTTTGTTCATTTTTTTAAAGAGTTCCGCCCGTATCCCCCTCCTAAAGTTGTATATGTATGCATAGCTGCTCAATCCTTTTAGTTAAATATATTTTTTAGGGGGGATATGGGCGTATTACCAAATAGTGATACAAAAGTTTATATACAGAGGTCATGTTACATGGATAACAAATGTAAATATTGTAATCTACATTTTCCCTTATTAGTTAAATTGACTAGTTTAATTAAAGTTTAAAATTTAATTAAAGTTTAAATTCTCTAGTCTTTCATCGTCATGCTTCTTAAACTTGTGAAGGTATTTTAATGTATTATATAAAGATCATAGATTCCATCTCTTTAAAATCAGGTTTGATATGATACCTCTGTATGTAAAGGTAATATGACAACCTCTCTGTAGGCCCTCACATCTTTTGAACCCAGAGTGACGATGATCACCCAATATGAAGGATGCATTGGTTCTTGTGCAAATCAGATGTGAGCTTTGTGAAACAATTCAGTTTATTTCTTTACCAATGCGATTATTAGAGAGGTATTTTTTCAAAAGAAAATCCATATAGGACACAAATTTCCTTCAATGGTATTCCTTTTTTGTGTGGAATTCATGGCGTTCAAAACCAACAGGGAGTATTAGCTATCCCCATCAATATGATGACACAACCCTTACTTACATTCAGAACTGTCCATTAAGTTCGTTTTCTAGATACAGATATAGATATGCTTGTCTGAATGTCACACAGAGGTGTCATATGGGAGTAAAAGATGTGATTTTAATGACATTGCTTTGTATCAACCAAAGTATCGTAGTGTAACATTGTGTATACAGCTCCCACTTGGACATTACTTGGTGTTTGATCTGTAAGAGTCTATGGGGACAGAGGATATGGGATGGTGAGGTTTTATTAAAGACAGGAGAATATATCAATCAACCATCCCCAAAGTGCACTTAGGGAATTATCATGTCTTAAAGCATATGGAATCAATATGTCACACTAGGTTCTGTCTCATTTGCTTGAGTGAGTGAGTGAGTATGGTTTTATGCCGCTTTTAGCAATATCACAGCGGGGGACACCAGAAATGGGCTTCACACATTGTACCCACTCGTTTGCTTGAAATTGGTGTGGGTGTTTCTCAGTTTTTAGTTGTATTAGTGTTGATAGATGTCTCCCTTTCTTATTATTTTCTTCTTTTTATACATTTGAAAACATGTTTAAGCTGAATTACCCTTTCACAGATTTATTTGTGGAACATGTTTAAAGATTTGCAATATATATCATAATATATGTTTACTTGAACATGTTGAAGACTCAACACTTTTGTTTTTGTGTGTTAATCATGTTAATAGGTTAAATGAAATATCAAGATAGACTGTAAGCCAGTCTACAAAATACCAATATATTAATAATTGATAACAAATATTCTAGATTTCATTTTCATAATACCCCTTGGAGATCTGTGTCCAAAATAAGGTGGTTTAGACTTTTTTCTATGATATGTACATATGTTTTAAGGAAGAGAATATATGGATGTCAACTTCTTTATTATGAAAAAATTATGAAAAAAACCAACAAACTGAGGGATGTGTGTCTACAGGGATTTTTCTAGGATTCCAATTTCTAAACTAAGTACAAAATGGGAAAAATCTATATTTTGTTCAAAATTGTTTTTTTCTGATTTCTTATGTTCCTGCATTCAGAGGTGTTTTAACCATGGTAACATTGTGTTTTAACCATGGTAACATTGTGTTTTAACCATGGTAACATTGTGTTTTAACATTGCATTCAATGCAATAATATTGAACTTGGCATTAAGGCTGATCCTCTAATTGATCCTGTTATCAATGAACATCTACAAAGACATAACATTAGTTGTAACTATAACAGCATGAACTGGGGAGGGTATAATTCCAATTTGGGAATTTTTGCTGACATTTACTGCAGATTGTGGACCGAATATCAATTTTGAAGAAAATAACATGTTTTTCCTCATTTGTCTGCCAGGGGCACGTTGTTTGGAATCTTAGATAAATCCCTGCTCAGTACGCAGAGCTAAGATCTTAGTTTCGCACAGGAAGCTTACAACGTCTTGACCTAGTTTGTAAAGTGATCACAGGGCTATGATATGTGTATATTGACAAGGATAGTAACGACAGTCATAGTGCTGCGATCAGATTGTGAAATGAGTACAAGGCTGTAGAGTTTAGTCTTTCTTCAAAATGTCCTGTGAAAAACCTAAAACACTTGTGTATATGTCTCATTCTGACTAGTATACTAAATACCCATTTGTTCGACACTGATTGATTTATGATAAAAGATGTTCCCAGTGAAGATCCGGGTAGAACTGGTCTTCAGCAACCCATGCTTTTCGTAAGAGGTGACCAGCAGGATTTGGTGGTCAGGCTTGCTGTCTTGGCTGATGCATGTCATCATATCCCAATTGAGTAGATCAATGCTCATGATATCAATCACTGGATTGTCTGGTCCATACACAAATAATTACAGATGTTGATTGGTTTGTTGTTTTACGCCGCACTTAGCAATATTCCAGCTACATGACGGCGGTCTGTAAATAATTGAGTCTTTACCAGACAATCCAGTGATTGATATCATGAGCATCGATCCACGCAATTGGGATCGATGACATGCTTCAACCAAGTCAGCGAGTCTGACTACCTAATCCCGTTAGTCGCCTTTTACAACAAGCATAGTCGCCTTTTACAGCAAGCATGGGTTGCTGATTACATATTTTTCCCCCGGATCTTCACGGGTCTCATATACACATGATATAGCTGGAATATTGTAAGTCATTAAACAAAAACATACCAATAAAAAGAGGCTATGTCATCTTAACTGACATATATTGAATAGATTTTAATAATCTTTCTCCGTGTTGATTAAGGTAGCAATATATAAACATGTTACGCCAACTATTTTAACAATATTGTATCTATATGTTTGTTTATTTATCTGGTAACCTGGCAATAAGTGTATGGCCAGCCACCTTCAGCCGATCAGTCACCCATGGCGTCAGAACATCTGACCCCGAGTTGTCACACGCCAACGCACATCAATGGAGGCTGACGATCAGAGACTGTTGTTAAGTGTATTTGGGGACTTTTAATTATAGCCACTTTTGGGAGAACTCAGTGAAGCTTATGGTGGGATTTATCATGGTTCGATCTGATAAACAACATTTATTCCTTGTGACAATAAACAAGATCTAGTTTGTACATGTCAGGGGTTGAGGTCTGGCCAACAGCCTGACTACAGACCATTTTATTAATATACTCAACAACAAAAGTTCCTGTGACACCAATATTTTAGTGTATTTTTTAAGCAAGTAAAGTTTGGTTTTCAAAATTGTAGTACATGTATGGAATCAAGTCACAAAAACGCAACTGCTACCGAAAAGCATGCATTCCAAGCAAAAGTTGACTTTTATGCAAGCCCCATGCAATTCACTACCAAAGAATGGGTATAAAAACATGTGCATTAACAGGATTCCATATGCATTGTTTACCATCGTGCCGACAACAACCACTCAGAAAAACAACAAAATTACACAATTATTCAACATTATGAAATGCCACGCCTGTCCAAAAATGAGCGTCTGCGAGCCATTGGGGCGCCTGGTCCATTCCATGAGACGAAGATGTGTTGCTTGCACACACGCTATTGATTTGTAAATTGACGTTTTGTCATGTTCATGTTTTTTTTTATAAAATCATGCATTTTCTGAAGTCAGTATGGCAAATTAAACCATTTGAACACTTACAGGAGTCTTTTATCTGTTGCAAACCGAAATTGTTTCAGATTTGGTAAAAAACATAACTTTGCATTAAATCTTATTCAATGTCACAGGAACTTTTGTTGTTTGGTATATATACTAGCAGAAAAAAATAACTGTACTTCATACAAAGTGGTTTAAATGTAATGTTACAGAAATTATCAACATAAGGCTAAAAACATAATAGTCTTGGTTCTCAGGCACCGCCGTCATCATAAAGGTTGCCGCACGTTTCGTTTATATTTCCATTTAAAACAACAACAAAACAATCCTTAAATATTCCAATGGTAGTCAAATACTGTATTCCAGTATTTTACTCATCAAGGAATTCATTTATGTAGGGAGGCCCTTATTAAGGTTCGTTGTACACAACTGTTTATTTGATTACATAACTGCTTATTTAGTGACACTAAAAAAAAAAATTAAAAAAAAAAAGACACTGCCCACCTGCACTATATTTTCAAAAGCCATTACCTGAGAACCAGTTCTTCTTTTTTAAGCCTACAAATTGGTCATGTGTCTAATCAATGTTTATTATAACAAGTTCATTGACAAACCCTATACCTGGTAATGCTGGAGACAGAGTTACACCCACTAAAAGAGAGGTGGTGTAACAACTCAATTAACAATGTCAAAACAGGGTGTGACCACCATTTGCGTTGGTCTGGGTGTGACCACCATTTGCGTTGATCTGGTTGTGACCACCATTTGCGTTGGTCTGGGTGTGACCACCATTTGCGTTGATACAGGCGAGGCAGCAGCACATTGAAGACACCAGATGATTGAAAACAGCCTGGGATGATGTTCCAAATGTCAACCAAAGATTGGTCCAACTGAGCTAGTGTTACCGGCTGGTTCTGATCCTGTCGTAGGTGTCGATCCATCTCATCCCAGACATGTTCTCTGGGGTAGAGGTCTGGAGAAACAGCCAGCCATGGCAGTACAGCAATGTTATGCTGCCTCAAGAAGTCTGTTACAACACGTGCAAGGTGTGGGCGGGCATTAACCAGCTTCAGTGTGAATTTCATCCCTGCATTTGCACAAAGGGTAGAACAGGATCTCGAATGTCATCCCGGTAGCGTACCCCATTCAAATTGCCATTGACAAGGATGAGTTGTGTTCTCCCATGAGCTGTGATGCCACCCCATACTATATTTTACACTTCCACCGCAAAACTGACGACATTGAGATACAGGGGTGGATAAAACATTCTCCTGGGCTCTGCACGACCCCCAGAACTGTCCAGATGAAACCTGACTCATCAATTGACAGAATACTGTCCAAGTGTTGTCATCAGAACCTCAGATACTGTCTACACCAAGCTAGGCATGCCTGACAGTGACTTGGAGTGAGTGAATATGGTTTTTACGCCGCTTTTAGCAATATTCCAGCAATATCACGGCGGGGGAAACCAGAAATGGGCTTCACACATTGTACCCATGTCGGGAATCGAACCCGGGTCTTCAGCGTGACGAGCGAACGCTTTAACCACTAGGCTACCCGACCACCCGACAGTGACTTGGAAGCCAAACTGGGAGTACCGCTGGACGTCGGGCCGGGTAGTGTGCTCCTTCAACCAGTGCGTACGGTTCTGCCACTGATTGGTATCAACAGATTTAAATATTGATTGTTAAAATATCTTGACAGAGAGACAAACTCTTTGAATTATATAGTATGATATATTTGGCAAAACTGTCTATTTGAGATTTTAGTTTTGTTACATGAAAATGTTTGACATGAAATCGAAATTTACTTTTGTCAGTTTAGCAACCAGTTCAAAATTCGGTGTTGGATAAAAAATTAATTCCTTAAGTTTTGAGACATAGCAGTCTAGATATTTGTTGCATGTGAAAAAAGAGCAATTATTGACACCATCCGGTGTATTGGCAATAAACAGCTTAACTGGAAAAGCTTGTGAATTTTTTTTTCACATGATGACGTCATACTGCTCCCCCATCACTAGCTTGTATGAGATGGCCTGCATTCAGCATGGGAGACAGTCATTGTGGTACACTGCACATCGATATATGAGGGCGTTCTTGTTCAGCGTGTAATTTAAACATAGATTGTCATTGTACTGATCATCTTAAACTGATTGAGTGTGTGATCAACTGAGTGTGGGGAAGTAAGTAAAATCTCAAATTGATCATTGGTTTGAAAAAGCAATCAATGATTGATTAGTGATCTGACATGAATGAAACTAGAAAAAGCTTATGATTATAGAATTCTTTCTTACAAATAAGAAAATATATAGTCAGCGGAAAGATGCTTGCGCTGAGACATCATGAAATCTAATGCTAACACCGTATTCGTGCGTGCATGATTCCCGTGCACCCTTTCGAGTTGAGTTGATTGGTTCAACTGTGTCATATGGCCCTGTGACGCAGGGGTAGCATTATGCAGATGGCTGTTACAATGAATGCACGTTCCACCCGTGACCAACAGGTCTGGTTGTTGATGAAATATAGTGATAGCTAAATAGACAGATTTTTTATTCATGCACCGATTGTCTTTAAATGTAATATCCAGTTATGTATGACTGTTTAATAATCTCATACCAACTTTGACTGGAGTAGGTCCAATAGTTTTTCAGATATTGTAGTAAACGTCGGTACCTTAAATTAACTCCCAGACTATAGCCCCGGATTTATCTAGACTTGCTCAGAGGCTGATATTCAGCCCTGTCTGCATCAAGTGTCTTTAGATATTCCCAAATTGTAATTAAGAAGTTCCCAATTCATGTTAATATGTAAAGCTTTGTAGAAGTAACCTTATAATTCAGTGATTACAGGACTGAGAATTATTTTATATTTTGCATTAAATGCAATCTCAAGACTCGGTGTTAAAATACATCTGATATTAAGAAAATTGAACTTTATAAAATCCCAATTTTGGAAGAAAATAATGATTTTGTTGCCCAATTTGGTGAAAGGTTTGGAATCTGAGATGTATCCCTGAAGTGAGAATACCACAGGACCTTGTAACTAATAATAATAATAATAAGCAAACTCGCAAAAAAATCATCGACTTCAACCTCGTCTGCGAGTTTGTTTGTTTTTATTAATAGTTACATGGCCCAGTCATCTAAGGCGCCGCGATTCATGGTGCAGAGTTGCGTCCCTTGGGCACGACAGAAACCTGTTCGAATCCCGGTTCGCCCCGATTATGTTTCTAGGTTTGTCAGCGATGTGTGGGTATAACAAGACTCAAAACTAAGCTGTCGTGGCAAATGGCCCCAGGGTATTTAGCTCAATGGAATGGAGACATACTATGAAATTAAGGATCTTTCAAGACATGTTGTTGTTTCCTTGACATGTGTTTGTGATGCAGATTATAATACAATACTACTTCTGAATTCGGCTCTTCTATGTATTCTCCAAAGTGAGTGAGTGAGTTGGGTTTTACGCCGCTTTTAACAGTATTCCAGTTATATCACGGCGTGTCAGCTTAATGTGGGAGGAAAGCCCGAAGTGATGCAGGTCTCAGACGTTTACCACTTCGGTGAAACCCACGAGCACGGGTATGGTGCTGACAAACCTAGAAACATAATCGGGGCGAACCGGGATTCAAACCCACAATCATAGGTTTCTGGCGTGCCCAAGGGACGCAACTCTGCACAGCGAATCGCGGCGCCTTAGACGACTGGACCACCCGTGCCCCCTTGAAGTTGACAGAAGCTATATCTTTATTCAAAGCTATAAAAGTCAAAAGTCAGAAGGAATGTGTGCATTGTCGGAAAGAAATGCAAACATTAGTGACTTGTAGTGTATCATAGTGAATTTTTGTCATTAAACGATTGAACAGGGAAGTCCTGTGGGTACTGGGCTTCTATTCAGTATCCACCCGACCCGAGTACCCGAGAACCCATCCCAGCCCTACCCTCTGCGTACAATCTCAAATGCAACCGGACCTGTGACGATGCGGCGTAGAATAGACAGACAGACAGACAGACAGTTTATTCAGTAAGAAGGCCATAGGCCCATAATACAGACAATGGTTGGTTGCATGAACTACGCATGCCAAGGAAGTAGTCGATTTAAGTTTCCCTTAGCCGTTGGACTTTATATAGATATAAACATGTGTTATATACAACATCAAAGTTTTCTGATGAAATAATTTCAGTAAAAGATGTTACAGTTTGAAACTTGATATACTGTTTAAGAAACATATTTCTTAGGGCTGAATAGGTCTTTAGCAACCCATGCTTGCTGTAATAGGCAATTGTGCTTGTCGTAAGAGGTGACTAGCAGGATTGGGTGGTCAGGCTCACTGGCTTGGTTGATGCATGTCATCATATCCTAGCTGAGTAGATTGATGCTCTTGTTGTCAATCACTGGATTGTCTGATCCAGACTCGATTATTTACGCCTATTACAATCAGGCTTTGAATTGGTCTTCAGCAACCCATGCTTGTTGAAAGATTCATCTAATGGTACTGGTGATGATTTATAGACTGCCATAATATAGCTGGAATATTGCTGAGTGCAGCGTTAAACCAAAAGCAAACAAACAAACAAACAAACGACGTGTATGCTGTATATTTGTTCATTATGTTCCAGGTAGTTATGAGTTGGAGTGTAGGGGTCGTCGTGACCTTGGCCCTTCTTGTCTGTGCGTGTGTCTGTGTGTCTGATGCTAGTGACTTCATCAACCAGTTTGCTGTCAAGGTCAATGGAAACAGACAGGAAGTTGAAGAGATCGCCAAAAGCCTGGGATTCAAGGTGGAACATGAGGTAAGCCATTCATCTCTGGAGAATCAATTAAAGATTCTCTTCTTTGCGTTTCTTTTGGTGGTGAGTATATATACATCTTGGAGTACTCTTTATACACACCAGCTTACATCTTCAATGATGTCGGGTAGCCTAGTGGTTTAAGCGTTCGCTCGTCACGCCGAAGACCCGGGTTCGAATCCCGACATGGGTACAATGTGTGAAGCCCATTTCTGGTGTCCCTCGCCGTGATATTGCTGGAATATTGCTAAAAGCGGCGTAAAACCAAACTCACCCTTCAATGATGTGTCGTGATAACAGAGTTTGACTGGTTCATGGAAACTATTTTCTGTTTTCCCTTGCAGCTGCGCAGCATCAAAGCCTTCCTGATGAGCCACCCTGAAGTGGATCATCGATCTAAACGCAGCGCCGACACGCATGTGGACATTCTCAACGCTCACCCCAAGGTAAGCCACATCAGATTGGTTAGGGTGGGTCTTGAAAGGGATGACTCCATTTTTGAATTACCCCCTGTGGAGATGTGGAAAGAGTTGATCTTCAGCATCCCATGCTAATGGCGTAAGAGGTGACTAACAGATTTGGATGGCGAGGCTCGCTGACTTGGTTGATGCATGTCATTGTATCCCAATTGCATAGATTGATGCTGATTTAATGCAAAGATTTAATCAAACAATATAGATATATGTGTATATAAATATAATTTGTGGTTGTTCAGGTTTTGTATGCTCAGCAAGAGCAGCTGCTGATCCGAGAGAAGAGAGAGATAATACACGACAAGCAAATTGAACTGCCGATCCGCGAGATCACGGACGACTCGGTCTACCACCGCGTACAAGAGGCGCGACTCAGTGAACGCAGTGGAAGCTTGGAGTACGTGGAACAGTTCACTGACCCCAAATTCCATGACCAGTGGTATTTGGTGAGTTTTATTGTTGTTAATATCTCAAATTATTATTGTTATAAAGATGTGTTGGATTAAATATTTATTTTATGGAATGGTAAGCATGGGAAGGTAAAAACATTTTCTAGATTCTCAGCTGCCACAAAGGGTATAAACATTTGATATTCTGGTGGGGGAAGAGCCTGAGATTTTTTTTAAAAACAATCTGTTCTTGAGAATGCTTGAAAAAAATCTTCTTCTTTTTTTTTTTACGATTTACCAACAAAATAAACCGTACACCGGACCCAAAAAATAAATTGTGTCATGGGTAAATATGTTGTTCTTTTTCACAGAATTCTTTTTGTGTGTTTTGGAGCAGTGATTGTTGAAATGATCTCCCTCAAACAAACATCTCTAGCCCCCGGAATATAAAATGTTCAGCCCCAAATCAGCAAAATCAATTCATGAAACTATTTTGTTTCTCTTTGAGGATAAATTTTGTTCAGGTTATGACACTCAGTGAACACATTTTAAAATAAACGCAGAAGCTGCACTCAACAACTGTAAAAGCTGTTACCTACATATGTAGATAAGTCTTATTGTATGTGTAAAAGCATTCATTGAATTCCTATGTGGTTGGTGTACTTGGTACTCTTTGCCTCTGGGCTGATTGGACAGGGACTCACAAGTGCTGGGCTATATGAAGTCATGCATTACAACAGTCAAGTGGCAAGATGGAACACTCAAGGGGGTGACTTTGGTTGTGTTAGATAATGAGGCTTGCAGATAGATCTGTGGAAACTGGCGTTATTACATGACTAGTGAATTAAGGATGTGTCTGGGGGATGATTACCGACTAGACGACCAGATGAGTATATCACAGGTTCTGGATGGTGATGTCACGGGGTCGGGATGGTGATATCACAGGGTCGGGATGGTGATGTCACAGGGTCAGGATAGTGATGTCATGGGGTCAGGGTAGGGATGTCACAGGTTAAGGGTGGGGATGTCACAGGTTCAGGGTGGGGATGTCACAGGTTCAGGATGGTGATGTCACAGGGTCGGGATGGCGATGTCATGGGGTCAGGGTAGGGATGTCACAGGTCCAGGGTGGGGATGTCACAGGGTCAAGATGGGGATGTCACAGGGTCAGGATGGGGATGTCACAGGTTCAGGGTGGGTATGTCTCAGGTTCAGGGTGGGGATGTCAGGTTCAGGGTGGGGATGTCACAGGTTCAGGGTAGGGATGTCACAGGTTCAGGGTGGGGATGTCAGGTTCAGGATGTGGATGTCACAGGGTCAGGCTGGGGATGTCAGGTTCAGGATGGGGATGTCAGGTTCAGGGTGGGGATGTGAGGTTCAGGATGTGGATGTCACAGGGTCAGGCTGGGGATGTCAGGTTCAGGATGGGGATGTCAGGTTCAGGGTGGGGATGTGAGGTTCAGGATGGGGATGTCAAAGGGTCAGGATGGGGATGTCAGGTTCAGGGTGGGGATGTCAGGTTCAGGATGGGGATGTCAGGTTCAGGGTGGGGATGTCACAGGTTCAGGATGGGGATGTCAGGTTCAGGATGGGGATGTCACAGGTTCAGGATGGGGATGTCAGGTTCAGGGCGGGGATGTCACAGGTTCAGGGTGGGGATGTCAGGTTCAGGGTGGGGATGTCACAGGTTCAGGATGTCACAGGTTCAGGGTGGGGATGTCACAGGTTCAGGATGTGGATGTCACAGGGTCAGGCTGGGGATGTCAGGTTCAGGATGGGATGTCACGGGGTCAGGATGGGGATGTCACAGGTTCAGGATGTGGATGTCAGGTTCAGGGTGGGGATGTCACAGGTTCAGGATGTGGATGTCACAGAGTCAGGCTGGGGATGTCAGGGTCAGGATGGGGATGTCACAGGTTCAGGATTGGGTGTCACAGGTTCAGGGTGGGGATGTCACAGGTTCAGGGTGGGGATGTCAGGTTCAGGGTGGGGATGTCAGGTTCAGGGTGGGGATGTCACAGGTTCAGGGTGGGGATGTCAGGTTCAGGGTGGGGATGTCAGGTACAGGATTGGGATGTCAAAGGTCCAGGTTGGGGATGTCACAGGTTCAGGGTGGGGATGTCAGGGTCAGGATGGGGATGTCAGGTTCAGGATGGGGATGTCACAGGTTCAGGATGGGGATGTTACAGGTTCAGGGTGGGGATGTCACAGGTTCAGGGTGGGGATGTCAGGTTCAGGGTGGGGATGTCAGGTTCAGGATTGGGATGTCAAAGGTCCAGGGTGGGGATGTCACAGGTTCAGGGCGGGGATGTCACAGGGTCAGGATTGGGATGTCAGGTTCAGGATGTGGATGACACAGGTTCAGGGTGGGGATGTCACAGGTTCAGGATGGGGATGTCAGGTTCAGGATGGGGATGTCACAGGTTCAGGATGGGGATGTCAGGTTCAGGATGGGGATGTCACAGGTTCAGGGTGGGGATGTCACAGGTTCAGGGTGAGGATGTCAGGTTCAGTATGGGGATGTCAGGTTCAGGATGGGGTGTCACAAGGTCAGGATGGGGATGTCACAGGGTCAGGATGGGGGTGTCACAGGTTCAGGATGAGGATGTCAGGTTCAGTATGGGGATGTCAGGTTCAGGATGGGGTGTCACAGGGTCAGAATGGGGATGTCACAGGGTCAGGATGGGGGTGTCACAGGTTCAGGATGAGGATGTCAGGGTCAGGATTGGGATGTCAGGTTCAGGATGGGGATGTCACAAGGTCAGGATGGGGATGTCAGGTTCAGGATGTGGATGACACAGGTTCAGGGTGGGGATGTCACAGGTTCAGGATGGGGATGTCTGGTTCAGGATGGGGATGTCACAAGGTCAGGATGGGGATGTCAGGTTCAGGATGTGGATGACACAGGTTCAGGGTGGGGATGTCACAGGTTCAGGATGGGGATGTCAGGTTCAGGATGTGGATGACACAGGTTCAGGGTGGGGATGTCACAGGTTCAGGGTGGGGATGTCTGGTTCAGGATGGGGGTGTCACAGGTTCAGGATGGGGATGTCAGGTTCAGGATGTGGATGACACAGGTTCAGGGTGGGGATGTCTGGTTCAGGATGGGGGTGTCACAGGTTCAGGATGGGGATGTCAGGTTCAGGATGTGGATGACACAGGTTCAGGATGGGGATGTCACAGGGTCAGGATGGGGATGTCACAGGTTCAGGGTGGGGATGTCAGGTTCAGGATGGGGATGACAGGTTCAGGATGGGGATGTCACAGGTTCAGGATGGGGATGACACAGGTTCAGGGTGGGGATGTCACAGGTTCAGGGTGGGGATGACAGGTTCAGGATGGGGATGTCACAGGTTCAGGATGGGGATGTCAGGTTCAGGGTGGGGATGTCACAGGTTCAGGATGGGGATGTCACAGGATAGGGTGGGGATGTCACAGGTTCAGGGTGAGGATGTCAGGTTCAGTATGGGGATGTCAGGTTCAGGATGGGGTGTCACAAGGTCAGGATGGGGATGTCACAGGGTCAGGATGGGGGTGTCACAGGTTCAGGATGAGGATGTCAGGTTCAGTATGGGGATGTCAGGTTCAGGATGGGGTGTCACAAGGTCAGGATGGGGATGTCACAGGTTCAGGGTGAGGATGTCAGGTTCAGTATGGGGATGTCAGGTTCAGGATGGGGTGTCACAGGGTCAGGATGGGGATGTCACAGGGTCAGGATGGGGGTGTCACAGGTTCAGGATGAGGATGTCAGGGTCAGGATGGGGATGTCAGGTTCAGGATGGGGATGACAGGTTCAGGATGGGGATGTCATAGGGTAAGGATTGGGATGTCACAGATCCACATTGTGACTGAGGGTGCTATTGGGTGTTGCTTGTATTATTTGTGTGAGTATGCATGTATCAGGCACATTTTTAGAAAGGGGACAAGTTTTCTTAGTTACTTAAACTTTGCAACACTATTTCAGCGCAACTATGGCCAAAGTGCAGGCAAGGTCGGGATGGACCTGAATGTTGACCCGGCATGGAATAATGGCTTCACTGGGACCGACGTCATCATCTGCATCCTGGACGACGGCATCGACCACCAACACGAGGACCTCAGGGACAACTACGTATGTATCGCCTTGTAGCATCTCTCTCCCTAATAGAATCAGCCACCTCCTTGCTCTAGTGGTTAGAGGCCTACCCTGAGCGTAGAAGGTTGGTGGTTCAATTTGTTGTTATCCTGAACAAGTCATGGTCGACTCAGAGTTTGTATACTGTGTCTTAGGCTTAAAAAAATAAAAGAAATAGATCTCAGGCAATGGCTTTTCAAAATATAGTGTGGGCGGGTGGTGTCTTTTTATATTTGTTTTGTTTTTCAAACTAGGATGTAACCAAATAGTGTACAATCAACCTGGGAAAGGGCCTCCCTACATAAATGTATTCCTCCAGTAAAATGCTGGAATACTGTATTTGACTACCATTGGACTTGGAATATTTAAGGATTGTTTTGGGGTTTTTTAAAATTGAAATACAAACGAAACGGCGAACATCATGATGATGCAGGCGGTGCCTGAGAACCAAGACCATTATTTTTTTTAGCCTTAGTGTGGATATCCATGTTTCACTGCAACTTGCTAAGTCAGTGGGCGGGCACTATAAATCTGGCATGAGTCTAGACTAGTCCAAGCAGCCACATACACACACACACACGTGAATGCACGTCTCTATATAAGTATGATAATGCAATGTTAAACCCCATTTCACTACACCAAGGAAATCTGCTTGAAAAACTCCATATTACATATTTAGTATTTCATCTTCAGGATCCTGCAGCCAGCACAGACTTAAATGACCTGGATGACCTCGAGAATGACCCCATGCCTGACAAAAGCAACTCTTTAAACAGGTGAGGGTCCGTGATATTTGCTGAGTCATCGGTATATTAATCATGTCCTTGGTGTGAGAAAAAGGAATTTTTATGCTGAAGCTAAGAATTATCAATCAAAGGTATTCATTCTTCACAGGATATATACTGATTGAGATTTATACTGTTTTGAGACAATTTTTAAATAGAGAATCTCACCCGAGTGTCTTTTGATATCAAATATATCAATACGAGTTGATAAAAGTGGCAAAACTCCGAGGCTTGTCAAGGAGTTTTTCCACTTTTATCAACAAGCGTTGATATATTTGATATCAAAAGACACGAGGGTGAGATTTTATTTATCATCCAACATCATTCTTCCAACTTTTTCAGTTTGTAGACAGTAATAAGTTGTGTCTTAAGTGTAAAAAGTACTGCTGACAGCTTCAGTAGCAGAGCCATTAGTGATGTCATTTGATTGTGACATCATGGTAACCAATGATGTCACAATGGTCTGCAAAGCATTGTGATGCAATTTCATTGCAGCGATATCTACACTGCAGATGTCGCTCGATCTCACCCAAGCGATATCTCCTGTGGGAGCCAGTTTTGGATGATAAATCATGTTCAGCAATTTCCCCAATTATTGATATGTTGCACCTAATGTATTGAGAATTTTTTTATTTTCATTCCCAGAATGAAGTGTGATACCAAGATAATTAAGGCTTTATATTTTTTTAATAGTTGTTTAAAAGATCGACTGAAAAAAGCCCTGAAATTAACAAAATGAAAGTTTTACAACTGAATGCAATGAGAGACAAACCATGAGAATTTATCACCACTGTTCGTAAGAAATGGTGAATACCAAGTATTGAAATATTAATTCTAGCAAGAAAACAATCAGTTATAGCAGCAGCACTAATCTGGAAGTTGAAACTGAACAAAAAATGTAAATTTTTTGACTACCTACATTAAAACCAAATAATATAAAAAAATTGGCATCTATGGTAATTATAATGGAGGTCTATGGTAAAACCAAGGTCATGTGAAGGTCATGTGTGTATCTGTAAGCATGTATTTGTAGATGTATCAAAGTCCAAGTTCTTAGATAACTATTGACATTACACAAACATTGATGGGTAGAATTTGACTTCTAAATTGTTTAGATTTATGTTTTTAAAAGTAAAAAATCTTAAAAATGCCAATGGGGTCATATTTTGCCAAATTAAACACAATTAAACTTTCAATATTGACGAGAGAGAAAGGTGGTTGAGGGCTTCTAAAACACTGTGATCATTATGAACATGTGATCACAGTTTCCAAGCCTCTGAGTATGTTTTGTGTGATAATAATTCGTAATTCTTGATTTGATATTTTTTATGAAACATATTTATATGTTACTAATGGTTAACATGTGTTTTGTTATTTTTCATATTGATGAAATATCAGGGTATGTTACCATGGTTACATGGCTGTTCAGCATCATGTGATTTTGTTGTTGTAGTCTGCTGGTGATTTAGTTAAATTTACTGTATTCTTTGTCTGTGTTTATTTACTGTAAATCTTGAAATTAACGCGAGCGTGAATTAAATGCAAAAAATGCGAGTGGTCTTTGCACGCATTAACTAAACTTCGCATTAATGTCTCCAAAATGACTATCAACAATAAGACGTCCTCGCTGCACACTTTCGATAGCGGAAATACCAACTTGAATATAAACACAAACAACCATATATTCCACATCACGGTCTATTGCCGCAGTTGTAACAAGTATATAACAATGTCATTCAAAGAACAGAAATTACACAATGAGTATCCGGTGAATTATCACTGCTGGGGTCAAGAATTCTACTCCCTCGCGTCAAACTAGGCATCATTGACCACTCCAGCAGTCCACACAACTCTGCATCGGAAAGCCGACACGACCCAACGCGCACCGATAGGTTTACCACACTCCTCTAGGGCTGGGACGAGTCCAAATTTACTATCCGGGTACCCAACCCCCTATTACCCGACCCTACCCGGGTACGCGCTGTAGGTCACAAGAGAGGGGTACAAAATGTCTGATTGGGAAACATTTGCCCGTACTCCTGTCAAAATAAATTTAGATACATGTATAATCCAATCTGGTCATGCATACACTGAAGAGAGGGGTACGAAATGTCTGATTGGGAAACATTTGCCCGTACTCCTGTCAAAATAAATTTAGATACATGTATAATCCAATCTGGTCATGCATACACTGAAGAGAGGGGTACAAAATGTCTGATTGGGAAACATTTGCCCGTACTCCTGTCAAAATAAATTTAGATACATGTATAATCCAATCTGGTCATGCATACACTGAAGAGAGGGGTACAAAATGTCTGATTGGGAAACATTTGCCCGTACTCCTGTCAAAATAAATTTAGATACATGTATAATCCAATCTGGTCATTCATACACTGAAGTTGACTGAAGTTATAGAATAATGCAAACATATAAAGTCAGAAGGATTGTATGTACAGTCAGAAAGATATTTGTCACTTATTGTGTAACCATAGTGTTCTAAATATGTTTTGGCATTAAACAATATAATCACGTGACTTACTACGGGTCCGGGTAGTCCTGTGGGTACCCTGGTCCTACTCAGTACCCACCTAACCCGAGTACCCGAGTTACCTGTCCAAGCCCTACACTCCTCAGACCTACAGTCTTTGTCGTGTCATCTGCCTTCAAGTTTGTTGATACCTTCTGCACATACCAATCAGTGAAGAGTTGTTGGTTCAATTACTGTATTGCCTTTGAGCATCCTTAATGCCAGTCAACAGAAGTAGCATAAACCCTGAGTCACATTTTTGGCTAGGGGTCAGCAGTAATATTAATTTAGAGACGCATTAATCTCAAGATTTACAGTTTCATATTGTGGGGATGAATGTGTTGGTTTCTGTTGCATGTCCACTCGTTGGGGTTCCAAGTCAAGCCTAATGTGCAGTGTCTCCTGCTGGTTTACCTGAGTGGGGGAATCTGGGGGTGGGTTGGACTTGGTACCCAGCAACCTTTGCTTAATGAGGGGGTCAGGGTTGCTGACTTGGTTGATGGTGGTGTGTCAGCTTACCCACATGGTGTGGATCTTTGCTAATAAAATGAATCACTGGATTGTCTGGTTCAGACTTGTACAAGCTGTGATTGCTGGAAAATTGCTGAAGGCTCTGTTAAGCACGCACACGCACACACGCACACGCACACACGCACACGCACACACACACACACACACACACACTCACTCACTCACTCACTCACTCACTCACTCACTCACTCACTCACTCGCTCGCTCATACACACTCACTCACTCACACACACACACACACAAACAAACACACTCACTCAAACAAACACATGCACACACACACAAACACACTCACTCACGCACGCACGCACGCACGCACGCACGCATGCACACACAGACACACACACACACACACTCACTTTCTCTCTCACACACACACACAAATGGCAAATGAGACATTTATTTCAATTTACTTGGTTCACAGATCTGCAAACGAGGAATTAAATAAACATCTTGCAAACAAATCTTTTCCCTTTCCAGTTAATTTATTTAATTTTATCACACAATTAATTCTTAGAAGTAGTATGTGAATATGGCAAGAGTAGTAGCCATGGTGACCCATGAATTTTAATTTTAAGAGATCATTTTAAAAGATACACACATGCACACAGACAGGTGCACACACAGACACACAGGCATACACACACACACACGCACACACACACACACATATAAAATAAAGGCGAGTTTTAGCCATCTTTAAAACTGCTTTTTCATCCCTGTAAATCCCCATTCTACAGTAGCTGTTTCCTGTTTAAACTGCGTGATCCATGCCCAGAACACTGATTTCAAAGGTCACACCTTTGAAATACCTGCATGAACTGTGGCTTGTGTTAGAAGTTCTAGGTGGGAGTATATTGATATCATTTGTGTGGTGGTGACATGTATATTTGTGTTGGTATAGCAGACTTTGGTGGTTTTATTGCTGGAAATGTCATGACTTGTGTCTGTCATATATTTATGATTTTATATACAGAAGCCATGTAGGTGCAACTGAATTTTATGTTGATATTTTTGGTGATTCTTTCTACAATTATAACCATTATATATTAGGTAGGTTTAACACATTTTTAAGGCCTTTTTGACAAATTGACTATTTGCCTGCCATGGGCACTTAGTTGAGGGACCCGTGAAGATTCGGGGTAGAATAGGTCTTCAGCAACTCATGCTTGCCGTAAAAGGTGACTATGCTTGTCGTAAGAGGCAACTAACGGGATCGGGTGGTCAGGCGCACTGACTTGGTTGATGCATGTCATCTCATCCCAAATATGTAGATCGATGCTCATGATGTCAATCACTGGATTGTTTGGTCTAGACTTGATTATTAACAGACTGCCATCATATAGCTGGAATATGCTGACTGCAGCGTTAAACAACAAACAAACAAACAAACAAACAAACAAACAAACTTAGTTGAGAAACCTTGATAAAATGAGCTGTTGGTCATAAAGAAGTCGTTACATGTGTTTTGTTTGATTCAGCAAATTTGAGTTTGAGAATTTATTGCTCACGGAAGACAATAATGTTTTTGGCATCTCTTTTTAGCCGTTAATTCATTATTAAAGTTTATAACTCGTATGAAATACAGGAGAATACATAGTTAGGCAGTCAGGACTTTAAAATAGGTTGTTTAACCGTTAATATTTCGTAGTCAACATGTTCATTTGATTATTATTTTTCCATCTTCTTTGTATTATGAGCCTAGGGCCTTAAGTACTAAATATAGTCAGGTTGGTCGGGTAGGCTAGTGGTTTAAGCATTCGCTCGTCACGCCGAAGACCTGGGTTCGATTCCCAACATGAGTACAATGAGTGAAGCCCATGTCTATATGAATACGTTCTGTATCATGTTCATTATTCAGTCTTGCTTGACAACGGTTTAAGGATCCATACCAAAACGTCGCCTTTACTGTAAGTAAAGAAGTTGTGTCTAATTGTAACCATGTTCTGCTGGAGTAACACATCTCCTCCTGTTGTTCTCCTCCAGCCATGGGACTCGCTGTGCTGGTGAGATCGCTTCATCTGCTCACAATGACAACTGTGGGGTTGGGGTCGCTTTCACCGCCAAAATTGGAGGTAAGAATATACCAATTTTCAACACACCTGCACCAAGAATATAACAGAAAATTGTATGACTGATATTGTTGAGCCAAAAATTGTGTCTGATATTGTTGAGCCGAAAATTGCATGTCTGATATTGTTGAACCAAAAATTGCATGTCTGTTATTGTTGACCTGAAAATTGTGTCTGATATTGTTCAACCGAAAAATGTATGTCTGATATTGTTGAGCCGAAAATTGCATGTCTGATATTGTTGAACCGAAAATTGTGTCTGATATTGTTGAGCTGAAAAATGTATGTCTGATATTGTTGAGCTGAAAATTGCATGTCTGATATTGTTGAGCCGAAAATTGCATGTCTGATATTGTTGAGCCAAAATTTGTATGTCTGATATTGTTAAGCCGAAAATTGCATGTCTGATATTGTTAAGCCAAAAATTGTATGTCTGATATTGTTGAGCTGAAAATTGCATGTCTGATATTGTTAAGCCAAAAATTGTATGTCTGATATTGTTGAGCCGAAAATTGTATGTCTGATATTGTTGAGCCGAAAATTGTATGTCTGATATTTTTGTGACAGATTTTCACATAACATTTGCAGCTGTTGTCCATCTATCTACCTTTTGCATGTTAGACATCTCCTCTGAACCATCATGGCCTATAGAGCTGAAATTTTGAAAAAATGGTCCCGGGTATGGTGTTTCTTAAACATGCTCACTGCTCCGATCCGATTCTTTATGGATTATATTTGTGATGTCCCTGTTGGAGAAAAAAAGATATTTTGGTCATTACTCAGCCATTTCTGTATCAATATATGCAGCATGTATGTGGTTTTCGGAATGAATTATTGGCATGTTTTGATTTTTCGTCAAGATGTAGTTACGACATTTGACTTTAATGCACCCCCAATTTTCTAGCGTTGTACTTCATTTCCGAAATCTTCTCTGAAACTGCATGAAACTTTGTATGACTGATCCTCTCTTTAGTGTCTCAAAAATGCTTGCAGAATTTTAATCTGATTTAAGACATGTCATCAAAAAACCCATTAATGCTATTGGTCGGCCATCTTTTCCAAACTTTTCTCATTTTTGCAATATTTTTAATCTTTATCTTGAGTCAATCTTTACAGAAAACAGTTTTAGTTGTAACCAAAGAAAAAAATACTGTCATGTGCAATACAAGGTAAAGTAGGGGCTAAATTGGAATCTATATCTTAGACCCCTGTAGATAGCCATGTTTCATTAAATTATCTGCATACTTTGGGGAGCAATGGCTAAAAGTAGTTTTTCCCATTTCATGGAAACAAAATTGACTTTAAGAAGATGTGGTTTGAGCAACACGGTTCGAGGCAGTAAAGATGGTCGAGGCAAATTTTGTCTGTCCTATACCAATTAAGATGGGAGAAAACACCAAAGCAAGTTCAAGCAGGTCCAAACTGTCCACCGATTACTAGCATGCATTGTTACCCATGTGACCAGTGTGTCGGTAAAAGTAACCCATGGGTTGTCAAAGCCAAAACAGCCCTTGATCGGACATCAAGGCATCTTTAGGGACCTACAGCACCTCTATGAGTGGTCTCGTTCTTGGGCGGGACTATTTACAACTTCCATGACCCCTAGTAACCTTGACAATGACACTGACATTTGCAAGTGGCACTTTAACAATGAACCCATTGACAGAACACACCCTTGTTGTATGATCAATCTCATTGAAATCAGACCTTAGTTCTCGCTACCCTTAAACAAAGATCTGAGGATATCCCATTAGGGGTCACGTCTGAACGGCCTTTCATCCAACCAATCAGGGCGTCGCTTACCAGATCATGAAAGTGATAGTTGGAATGTGATTTCTAATGATGCAACCTCGAAAACTTTAACACTGGGTATTCCGAACGATAGTTACGGGTTTAACAACTGAATCCATACAATCTGGACTATCTATTAGCCATTCCACAATGTTCTTTTGTTCATGTTTCAAATTTTAAATCGAGAAATTGTCAAAATATGTTTCGAAGCATAGTCGCCAATTTGAAATTAGTGCCGTAAAGCACAAGAAAGCAGTCTTCTGATTGGTCATTCCATTGGTCGGTCAAGGTTCGCGCAAGGTCGGTCTGACGTGACCCATACTGGGATGTCCTCAGATCTTTGTTTAGCGGTAGTGAGAACTAAGAACTGGTTTTAATGAGATTGGTTGTATGATATGACTTAAGTACCAACTATATGTATACCAATACATGATGAAAGTCAACCACTGTTGCAGGTGTGAGGATTCTGGACGGCAACATCACCGACTCCCTGGAGGCTGCGGCGCTGGTCTTCAACAACGAGTACATCGATATCTACAGTGCATCATGGGGCCCTAAGGACGATGGCCGCACCATGGCTCGGCCAGGCACTATGGCCTCTGAAGCTCTCCGGAAGGGAGTGACAGAGGTACACTACAGTTGTTGGTCTAGTTCACCTGTCACTGTGCTATTGGTTAGATCCTGTAGCCTGTTGATGTGCTGTTGGTTATATCCTGTAGCCTGTTGCTGTGCTATTGGTTATATCATTTAGCCTGTTACTGTGCTATTGGTTATATCCTTTAGCCTGTTGCTGTGCTATTGGTTATATCCTTTAGCCTGTTACTGTGCTATTGGTTATATCCTTTAGCCTGTTACTGTGCTATTGGTTATACCCTTTAGCCTGTTACTGTGCTATTGGTTATATCCTTTAGCCTGTTGCTGTGCTATTGGTTATACCCTTTAGCCTGTTGCTGTGCTATTAGTTTTATCCTTTTGCCTGTTGCTGTGCTATTGGTTATATCCTTTTGTCTGTTACTGTGCTATTGGTTATATCCTTTTGCCTGTTGCTAGGCTATCAGTTATATCCTTTTGCATGTTGCTGTGCTGTTGGTTATATCCTGTAGCCTGTTGCAGTGCTGTTGGTTATATCCTGTAGCCTGTTGCTGTTCTATTGGTTATATCCTTTTGCCTGTTGCTAGGCTATTGGCTATATCCTTTTGCCATTGCTGTGCTTTTGGTTATATCCTTTTGCATGTTGCTGTGCCTTTGGTCAAATCATTTTAGCTGTCGCTGTGCTATTGGTTATATCCTTTAGCCTCTTGCTGTGCTGTTGGTTATATCCAGTAGCCTGTTGCTAGGCTATTGGTTGTATCCTTTAGCCTGTTGCTGTGCTATTTGTTATATACTTTAGCTTGTTACTGTTCTATTGGTTATATCATTAAGCCAAATGCTGTGATTGGTTATATCCTTTTGGCCGTTGCTGTGCTATTGGTTATATCCTGTAGCCTGTTGCTGTGCTATTGGTTATACCCTACATGCCAGTATCCAATCAAGCCTCTTTACCAAGCACACCTTCCATCAAAGCTGCAAGCTGATTACTGTAAACACAGCATGTTACTGAAGTGTTCTCACGTGGCTGCTGTTGACACGTGAAAATCGCGAAATGAGTACAGTTAATGTATCTTTTATTCGAACCTTGACTTATACAACAACGCTTATCCAGATCGAGACAGTGTAGTCGATGATTTTGAGTTTTTGAGTGTTGCTGCTTTTTTGCCACTCAAAACAGACTGTTATGTCAGATTTTTCTCAGTTGTTAACAAATCCATATTAAATTCCACCTTTTCAAATTGGGGACATGATTTTTTAATTCTTTTTAAGTACAAAATCAATCACACGTATATTTAATGCTACACATGGGTGACTAAATTATTCAAAACAGTATTACATGATAAATGTATTGTAATATTTGTTACAATATTGTTACCAATGTTGTGACATAGTATGAAACTAAGGATGATTCGATTACATCTAATCCCTCATAACATGATGTTTTTTTGAAATTCCCTTTTTTGTCTGCTTGGAACCCTGGGTAACTTAAACATTTTCCCAGGTCCCCGAGTTTATCTCAATGAGGTTCGACTGTATATTCATTTACAAAGGCTTTGGTTAACACTTAGCAGTTGTTCACATCTCCTGGAAATCACATGACAGTCAAAAAGATTACTGTAAGGCTTTCATTTAAGATTTAAATGACTGCCCTTGAAGGGATTCAGAACTATGCTTGTCATATGAGTCGAATTAACAGATCTGTGGTAAGCTCGTGATTGCCTGGTTGATTGCATGTCATCATACCCCGATGGCAAGGATCAGTGTTCACAATATCAATTATGGTTTGTATGGAAGCCTTTTAGTGCCATTTGTTTTTTTTTGTCTTTTTCTTGAAATTTCTAGAAACTAATTTAATATTAGGTTAGTATCTTGAAATTTCAAGTTTAAAGTATCTTAAAATTTATAAAAAAATATATATGTATGAAAATGGCCCTAAAAGGCTTCAGTAGGTTTGTTTGTTTGCAATGTGTGTAAACTGTTCAAATAACCCTGCCTTCTTCCTGCAGGGTCGTGGAGGTCTGGGCAGCATCTACGTGTGGGCGACAGGCAATGGGGGCCTGTATGAGGATGACTGCAGCGCTGATGGCTACGTCTCCAGCATCGAGAGCATGTCATTCGGCTCTGTAACCGATAAGGGGGAACGGCCCTATTTCATGGAGATATGCACGTCCACGCTGGCGGTAGTGCCCTCTGGTGGTGAGGTGGTGAAGGGGGAGGAGCAGGAAATGGGAATTACAAAGCTCAAAGTGGTGAGTACAGTTTGGATGTATTCAGATGAAGGTCACAGTATTAGATGTATTCAGATATAGGTCAAAGTATATATCACAAAGCTCAAGGTGGTGAGTACAGTTTGGATGTATTCAGATGAAGGTCAAAGTATTGGATGTATTCAGATGAAGGTCAAAGTATTGGATGTATTCAGATGAAGGTCAAAGTATTGGATGTATTCAGATGAAGGTCAAAGTATTGGATGTATTCAGATGAAGGTCAAAGTATTGGATGAATTCAGATGAAGGTCAAAGTATTGGATGTATTCAGATGAAGGTCAAAGTATATATCACAAAGCTCAAGGTGGTGAGTACAGTTTGGATGTATTCAGATGAAGGTCAAAGTATTGGATGTATTCAGATGAAGGTCAAAGTATTAGATGTATTCAGATGAAGGTCAAAGTATTGGATGTATTCAGATGAAGGTCAAAGTATATATCACAAAGTTTTGGGTTTTGTTCTCATGCAAGACCTTTTGGAATTAATTCTGTCACTCTACCTTAGATAACAACTTTGCTGTAACATAGTGTTGGATGACGGTGTAAGGGAGATAAGTCTGATGGGACAGCTGTCAGTGTGGACTGCATGATTGTCTTGAAGTTTAGTTTGAGTGTGTTGAATGTTTGAGATGGACTTTTGGGACATTGGGGGATTGCAGGTTTGTAAGGGGGGTTGTAGGGATATTGGGGGGATTGCAAGGTTGTTAGGGGGATTGTTGGGTTATTAGGGTCATTGGAGGGTTGTTAGGGAGGATTGTAAGGTTGTTGGGGGGGGGGGGGATTGTAGGGTTGTTAGGGGGCTTGTAAGGTTGTTAGGGGTATTGTAGGGTTGTAAGGGGGATTTTAGGGATATTGGGGGCATTGCAGGGTTGTTGTAGGGTTGTTAGGGGGCTTGTTGGGTTGTTTGGGGGATTGCAGGGTTGTTAGGGGAATTGTAGGGTTGTTAGGGGCATTGTAGGATTGTTAGGGGTATTGTAAGGGATTGTATGGTTCTTTTAGGACTGTAGGGTTGTTAAGTTGATTGTAGGATTGTTCGAGGGATTGTAGGTTTATTAGGGGCACTGAAGGGTTGTTAGGGGGGATTGTAGGGTTATTAGGGGGATTGCAGGGTTGTTAGGCCGTTGTTGGCTTATTAGGGGCATTGTTGGGTTGTTAGGGGGATTGTAAGGTTGTTAGGGGGATTGTAGGGTTGTTAGGAGGATTGTAGGTTTGTTAGGGGGGTTGTTAGGGGTATTGTAAGGTTGTTAGTGGCATTGTAGGGTTGTGAGGGGGATTGCAGGGTTCTTAGGAGGATTGTAGGTTTGTTAGGGGGGTTGTAGGGTTGTTAGGAGGATTGTAGGGTTGTTAGCGGTATTGTTAGGTTGTTAGTGGCATTGTAGGGTTGTTAGGGGGATTGCAGGGTTGTTAGGGGGGATTGTAGGGTTCTTAGGAGGATTGTAGGTTTGTTAGGGGGATTGTAGGGTTCTTAGGAGGATTGCAGGGTTGTTAGGGGGATTGTAAGGTTCTTAGGGGGATTGTAGGGTTGTTAGTGGCATTGTAGGGTTGTTAGGGGGATTGTAAGGTTGTTAGGGGGATTGTAGGGTTCTTAGGAGGATTGTATGTTGTTAGGGGGATTGTAGGGTTGTTAGTGGCATTGTAGGGTTGTTAGGGGGATTGTAAGGTTGTTAGGGGGATTGTAGGGATATTGGGGGATTGTAGGGATGTTAGGGGGATTGTAAGGTTGTTAGGGTCATTGTAGGGTTCTTAGGAGGATTGTAGGGTTGTTAGGGGGATTGTAAGGTTGTAAGTGGCATTGTAGGGTTGTTAGGGGGATTGTAAGGTTGTTAGGGGGATTGTAGGGATATTGGGGGGATTGCAGGGATGTTCGGGGGATTTTAAGGTTGTTAGGGTCATTGTAGGGTTCTTATGAGGATTGTAGGTTTGTTACGGGGATTGAAGGGATATTGGGGGTTTTTTAGGGTTGAAAGGGGGATTACAGGGATGTTAGGGGGATTTTTGGGTTGTTAGGGGGATTGTAGGGATATTGGGGGATTGTAGGGATGTTAGGGGGATTGTAAGGTTGTTAGGGTCATTGTAGGGTTCTTAGGAGGATTGTAGGGTTGTTAGGGGGATTGTAAGGTTGTAAGTGGCATTGTAGGGTTGTTAGGGGGATTGTAGGGTTGTTAGGGGGATTGTAGGGATATTGGGGGGATTGCAGGGATGTTCGGGGGATTTTAAGGTTGTTAGGGTCATTATAGGGTTCTTATGAGGATTGTAGGTTTGTTACCGGGATTGTAGGGATATTGGGGTTTTTTTAGGGTTGAAAGGGGGATTACAGGGATGTTAGGGGGATTTTTGGGTTGTTAGGGGGATTGTAGGGATATTGGGGCGGGGATTGCAGAGTTGTTAGGGGGATTGTAAGGTTGTTAGGGGCATGTTAGGATTTTTTTAGGACTGTAGCGTTTTCAGGGAGATTGTAGGGTTATTAATGGGAGTGTCAGGTTTGTTGGAGGATTGTAGGGTTATTAATGGGAGTGTCAGGTTTGTTGGAGGATTGTAGGGTTATTAATGGGAGTGTAGGGTTTGTTGGAGGATTGTAGGGTTATTAATGGGAGTGTAAGGTTTGTTGGAGGAGTGTAGGGTTATTAATAGGAGTGTAGGGTTTGTTGGAGGATTGTAGGGTTATTAATGGGAGTGTAGGGTTTGTTGGAGGATTGTAGGGTTATTAATGGGAGTGTAAGGTTTGTTGGAGGATTGTAGGGTTATTAATGGGAGTGTAAGGTTTGTTGGAGGATTGTAGGGTTATTAATGGGAGTGTAGGGTTTGTTGGAGGATTGTAGGGTTATTAATGGGAGTGTAGGGTTTGTTGGAGGATTGTAGGGTTATTAATGGGAGTGTAGGGTTTGTTGGAGGATTGTAGGGTTATTAATGGGAGTGTAGGGTTTGTTGGAGGAGTGTAGGGTTATTAATGGGAGTGTAGGGTTTGTTGGAGGATTGTAGGGTTATTAATGGGAGTGTAAGGTTTGTTGGAGGATTGTAGGGTTATTAATGGGAGTGTAGGGTTTGTTGGAGGATTGTAGGGTTATTAATGGGAGTGTAGGGTTTGTTGGAGGATTGTAGGGTTATTAATGGGAGTGTAGGGTTTGTTGGAGGATTGTAGGGTTATTAATGGGAGTGTAGGGTTTGTTGGAGGAGTGTAGGGTTATTAATGGGAGTGTAGGGTTTGTTGGAGGATTGTAGGGTTATTAATGGGAGTGTAAGGTTTGTTGGAGGATTGTAGGGTTATTAATGGGAGCGTAAGGTTTGTTGGTGGATTGTAGGGTTATTACTGGGAGTGTTAGGTTTGTTGGAGGATTGTAGGGTTATTAATAGGAGTGTAGGGTTTGTTGGAGGATTGTAGGGTTATTAATGGGAGTTTAGGGTTTGTTGGAGGATTGTAGGGTTATTAATAGGAGTGTAGGGTTTGTTGGAGGATTGTAGGGTTATTAATGGGAGTGTAGGGTTTGTTGGAGGATTGTAGGGTTTTTAATGGGAGTGTAGGGTTTGTTGGAGGATTGTAGGGTTATTAATGGGAGCGTAAGGTTTGTTGGAGGATTGTAGGGTTATTAATGGGAGTGTAAGGTTTGTTGGAGGATTGTAGGGTTTTTAATGGGAGTGTAGGGTTTGTTGGAGGATTGTAGGGTTATTAATAGGAGTGTAGGGTTTGTTGAAGGATTGTAGGGTTATTAATGGGAGTGTAAGGTTTGTTGGAGGATTGTAGGGTTATTAATGGGAGTGTAGGGTTTGTTGGAGGATTGTAGGGTTATTAATAGGAGTGTAGGGTTTGTTGGAGGATTGTAGGGTTATTAATGGGAGTGTAGGGTTTGTTGGAGGATTGTAGGGTTATTAATGGGAGTGTAGGGTTTGTTGGAGGATTGTAGGGTTATTAATAGGAGTGTAGGGTTTGTTGGAGGATTGTAGGGTTATTAATGGGAGTGTAAGGTTTGTTGGAGGATTGTAGGGTGGGAATGAGATATAGAAGTGACGTGGAAAGCTACTCCAGGCAATTCTTGTTTGACAAATGAAGGTAGCACCAGATCTGCTAAATACCGTTACACAAGGGAAGGATAATCAACAAGATCTGTTATAGGAAAAGCTGTGTAAGTGCTGTGCCGTGTTGCAGGTAACAACAGACATCAATGGTGGGTGTATCGAGAACTTCCAAGGAACATCGAGTGCAGCCCCTCTGGCAGCAGGGTGTGTGGCGCTGGCGCTCCAGGCAAAGTGAGTACCATCCAGTACTGGGTGCTGTTGTACAGAGCGATCTTAGCGCTAGGGTGATTGTAACTCCCATACCTTAACATAGACTTACAACAGCCTTAGCGCTGAAGTTGTTTAGTACAAGCCACCTTTCCAGGAGGATATTTTCCGTATCTCCAGTTGGTGATATATTTTTGAAATGTTGTGGAGTTCTATCATGTTGTAGCCTTGTTGTTGTTTGACATTATGTGGTTCTGTGCACACACATCACAATCCAGATGGCGGGGGTAAATGTATGGTTGACTCTGCTCAAGATTTACTCCTGAGTTCTAAGGTTTCTGTCCTGCTTCAAACTGTAACAGAGTTTATTAAAAAACTTATTATACCTCCTCAGGGCAGTAACGTTGCAAAAAATTAACCTCTGTTCATCAAGCAGCAAATTGGTACCTGGTAGGATGAGTGAGTGAGTGAGTTGGGTTTCATGCAGCTCTTAACAGTATTCCACTTATATCACGGCGTGTCAGCTTAATGTTGGAGGAAATCCCAAAGTGATACAGGTCTCAGATGTTTACCACTTTGGTGAAACCCATGAGCATGGGTATGATGCTGACAAACCAAGAAACATAATCGGGGCGAACCGGGATTCGAACCCACAATCATAGGTTTCTGGCGTGCCCAAGGGACGCAACTCTGCACAGCAAAGATGACTGGGCCACCGCGCCCCCGTAGGATGAGATGATGACATGAATACATAACCTTGTAGCAGCTAACACTAAACAGGCAGCTCAGGTTGTATACAATGAGGAAGACATCCCTTGTTTTGAGCCTTTGGCATCGATTGGTGAGTAGGCTGAGTTAACAATACTCCAGCAATATCATGGAGAGGTACACCAGAAATATTATTCATTCTATCCATGTGGGGAATCAAACTAGGACCTTTGCCGTGATGAACGAACACTTCAACCACTGGGCTAGCCCACCACCCCTATCCATCAATTAAATGTTGTTATTCCCTTGTCAAATGTTCATATTCACCTTGTTAAATGTTGTTATTCCCTAGTTAAATGTTCTTGTTCCCTTGTTAAATGTTCCTGTTCCCTTGTTAAATGTTCATATTCACCTTGTTAAATGTTCCTATTCCCTTGTTAAATGTTCTTGTTCCCTTGTTAAATGTTATTCCCTTGTTAAATGTTCCTATTCCCTTGCTAAATGTTCTTGTTCCCTTGTTAAATGTTCCTATTCCCTTGTTAAATGTTCCTATTCCCTTGTTAAATGTTCTTATTCCGTTGTTAAATGTTCCTATTCCCTCGTTAAATGTTCCTATTCCCTTGTTAAATGTTCTTGTTCCCTTGTTAAATGTTCTTGTTCCCTTGTTGAATGTTCCTATTCCCTTGTTAAATGTTCCTATTCCCTTGTTAAATGTTCCTATTCCCTTGGTAAATGTTCCTATTCCCTTGTTAAATGTTTTCATTCCCTTGTTAAATGTTCTCATTCCCTTGGTAAATGTTCCTATTCCCTTGTTAAATGTTCTTATTCCCTTGGTAAATGTTCTTGTTCTCTTCCAGTCCCTCCCTGACCTGGCGTGATGTCCAGCACATCGTGGTGCACAGCTCACGCATCCCCTCCGTCGACCACAGCTGGGTGGTGAACGGCGCCGGCCTCCACGTCAGTCACAAGTTCGGCTTCGGTGTTCTTGATGCCAGTCGGATGGTGGAGCTGGCACAAAACTGGGTGACGGTGCCAGAGCAGCATGTCTGTCGATACCACCAGGAGAGTGTCAATAAGTGAGTAAAGAACATGGTCACTTATTTGTGTTTACTGACTTTTGGATAACCATTTAGTTTGGTTCTTCAAAATACAAACAAAAATATACAAGGGTGTGTGGGTCAATATATATATATTTTTATCTTATTTGGCATCAGGTTGTTTGTGTTGGTTAGTTTTGTTTGAAAATAACAATGATAAGAATTAAAAAAATGAAAATTGGTTCTCAGGCAATGGCTTTTGAAAAAATAGTGTGGGTAGGCGGTGTTGTTTTTGTTTGTTTGTTTTGTTTTTTGTTGTTGTTGATCAAATTAACAGTTGCGTACAATCAACCCAGGATAGGGCCTCCCAACATAAATGAATTCCTTGATGAGTAAAATACTGGAATACAGTATTTTACTACCGTTGGACTACTAGCTAGTGCATAATACATGCGAAAACCTAATTGTGAGCACACAACACTGAAAGAAGTATTTCAACAAATCTGTACTGAAGTGGGCAAGTTAACGGTAGTCCTGTTATTACCCTATCTGGCTATCAACATGATCAAAGTCTTTATTGTGTAAATGGACTAATGCTATAAACCATTGTTACTTTTATCCAAGATTTCATTCAATTTTGTTCACATTAATTTCAGCGAAATTGTGTACGAACTGTTCAGGAAATCATACGCCATGAACTCGCCTTGAAATGAACATTAGTTGTTAAAGATACAAAGTCTTTCTGTCACTGTATTGAAATTTCTTTGCAGTTATTATATTGGCCATGACAGTTGTTTTAACCTAAATCACCCATAGATAGGAACTGTTTCCTATTGTTAACGTGACATATCTATATTGGAAGGGCCCTGTGAAGATCCAGGTTATAATTTGCCTTCAGCAACCCATGCTTGTTGCAAGAGGCAACTAACACGATTGATGTGGTCGCTGATTTGGTTGATGCATGTCATCATTTCCCAATTGTGCGGATTGATGTCAGCATGTCAATCACCGGATTGTCTGGTCCAGACTTGATAATTTACAGATCGCTGACATATAGCTGGAATATTGATTAGTGCGGCATTAAACAACAACAAACAAACAAAGTTCTGAAAAGACTTTGTTATCATGATTGCAGTGACAAGACTACCCACAGTGCAACTTATGAATTAATTACAAGGAAATGTGAAACAGAAAAGACTAACTAACTTTGCTGGGTTGCTAGGGGCATTACTGACAAATAAGTAATTTTACTGAAAATCACTACTGTTTAACCAGAATAGGGACATTGGTCCTAGAGACTTTGGCCATGCTGCTGTTTCAAGAAGGCTTCGTCATTTTGCAAAATTGTTATTGCATAATACATCCTAAACATTTGTTAAGATCTCATTATGTTGACAATATAGTGTCATTTAACTCATCTAGGGTCTGAATAATATCAGGATCTAAGGTATTCAGATTCTGGGTGAAAATCAGGCACGTGATGATGACCGGGGCGGTCGGGTAGCCTAGTGGTTAAAGCGTTTGCTCGTCACGCCGAAGACCCGGGTTCGATTCCCGACATGGGTACAATGTGTGAAGCCCATTTCTGGCGTCCCCCACTGTGATATTGCTGGAATATTGCTAAAAGCGGCGTAAAACCATACTCACTCACTCTCTCTGATGATGACCCAGCATTTTTGTGTATTTCAGACAGATTACATCAAAGGGGAAGGTGATTGATGAGATTGAGGTAACTGGATGCACAGGAGAAAGGAACAGAATCCATAACCTTGAACATGTCCAGGTGAAGGTCAAACTGACGCACAGTCGCCGTGGCGACATACTGATAAAGCTCCGGTCACCATCTGGCACCTGGTCGAAGCTCCTGTCACCACGTCCTTACGATGACAGCGACAAGGGCATAAGTTTCACCTTCATGACCGTCCACTCCTGGTCCGAGGACCCCATAGGAATATGGCAGCTTTCTGTCGAGGACAAGCCAGGGGAACCCACAAGGAACAATGAAGGGGAGTTGCTGGAGTGGAGTCTCATTCTCTATGGCACGGCAGATTCAAGAGTCAACAGGATGGATTCCCATTCCGAAACAGCAAGGAAAACCTTTGTTCCAACTCTGAAGGAGGTAAAACTTCACATGGACGAAGAACAGGTCAGGACTAACAAGGTGACCCTTACTCCATACGAGTCATTTCCTGTGAAAAGGAACGAGTCTGATGGGCTGGAAGATAGTAAGTTTGTGGAAAACCTCATCAAAGCTTTACAGGACTCCAAAGGAAGCAGTGGAGCTTCAGGCAAAACTAAGTCACCGGATAAAAGAAAACTGGGAAAGACATATCTCAGTAATTGGAACAGAGGAGATTATGTTACAGAAGTAAAGAAATCATACAACCCTGACCAGATGCTTGATGATGGTGTCTTGGACGAACTGGTTGATGCAATGGAAAAGGAATTTGGTACAGGTTCTGATGGCTATAAAAGGACTTCAGAAGCTCTGAGGACTGAAGATGATCTGGAGGATGTATTGGCTGAGGTCAAACGTAGACTCCAGCTGGAGAGAAGGTTGATGAAGCAGAATGCTCAACAAAGGAACTTGGAAGAGGACAAGGAGCAGCAGCAACTCCTGAAGAAACTCCTGGAGGAGGTGAAGAAGGAACAGGAAGAAGACCAGAAGGCAGCTTGGGTGCTGACGAGTAAGATGGCCAGTCAGCCAAATGACAATCTGGACAGACTCCTGAATGAGGCTCGCAAGATGCTGAAGCAAAAAGATACAAGACAATATCTGAGAGATGAAGGGAGAGATGCTGAGATTAAAAGTGCTTCCAAGACTGATAATGTTGGGGTGGATCAAATTACTATTCGGACTTTGAAAGATTTACTTAATTATCTTGAAGATACAGAATAATAGAATGGAGATACGCACAAGTGAGGAACTTGTCATATATATTGAATATATAATTTTGTAGAGTTAGAAGGGAATGGAATTCTATTGGAAGAACGTTTTCGAATGTTTTGTCTCTACTAACTATACCAAATATATAGCTAAGATAATTGTGATTTACATATCGAGTCAGTTATTGGACTCAAAGAGAACAGGCTGATACAACCCAGTTCTTGGAGACATTATTGAGGAGGATTTTTCAGGGATTTTTTGCTCAATCATGTACATTTGTATACACTTTTATACTTAAAGAATCATAGCTTTTTTATGAACATTTTTGTAAAAAGTTTAAATTGTAGGTATATCTATATCCATCTGCCAGATGGTGATTGCAGTTCATTGTCTTCTAATCTGCTGTATGTCAATTTGGTTTTCATGACTTGTTTCTATGAAGTATGTTTAACAGGGACGACTGTTGATATTGTTATTTATATTTGTTGCAAATATATCATATTTATATTTGTGATGTCAGTTTTGCTGGCTGTATTCCATCATTTCATTGTCGATGTCACTTTATGATCTGTTGTAACAATTTCTTTGCTTTTATAAATGTTTGAAAGTATTTACCGTTATTATTTTGGTCTACTTTTTCTCACTGAAATTCTACATTTCTGAGTCTTAATGGTCATATATAGGAATTAGATTTTTTCTATGTGGTAAATTGTCAATCAAAGTTACATGTTTTTATGTATTTATGGCATTGGGATCATTTTGGAACTTTCAGTTTAATTTTAGATTTACTGTTATTCAGGATTGAAATGTTTGAAATTTAGGTACAAAATACTTTGGTTAATTTATTTTGGTCCTATTTGACAAAGAAGGAATCTGTGATAGTCGAGTGGTTAAAGGCACAGCAATTACCTGTGGGGAGTTACTTCCCTTAGTTTGACAAGGACACACTGATGGTGGGTTTGAAACGCAGAGTCACCCAGATTATTATCATTGGTTTGCCATACCATTTCTAATGGGTTTAATCAAATTGGTATATCTCTGACCTGAAATGCCCTTCCAAGCGGGTTTAAACTCACTCACTCACTCACTGTTTTAGTTGGAGTTGTCTTGTTAATTTGCTATTAATGAAGATATATGTTTATATATATTTATATATATGATTCTATTGATTCCATGATTAAACCATAATAACAGTCTTTGACAATGCTTTTCTGGTGTGACGTTTATCAATTCATATATAATTAAAAGCAACAGTCATATTATTACCTCAGGGGTGATGGGGCAGCCTTGTGGTTTAAAGTGTTCGCGCGTTACAAAGACCTGGGTTTGATTCCAAAAATGGGTACAATGTGTCAAGTCCATTTCTGGTGTCCCCAGCTGTGATATTGCTGGAATATAAGCGGTGTAAAAATACTCTCTGTCGCTTGCTCACTCGCTCACTGACTGACTGACTCACTCACTCGACTTAACTGTGCCTGACTGGTTAACCAAGAAAAGAAAGAGCTTGATATTGCATCTTTAAACATTTAAAGTACTTTTTTTAAGGTGGCAATTCTGAGTCAGATAAGATCCCTAGTACCCACTGCTTGTGGTAAAAGCCCACAATTAAAGATGGTGCCATCCCACCCTCTCCCCTTAATCCTGAATCCCGATCACCATCTAATTTTTCTAACCTAGTCTCATTTGCTCACTTGACACAAATCTTATATTACTGAAAAATGTCAACAACACAAATATATATACGCACGCACGCAGGAAATGTTTACATACGCCATTTTTGTTGAATCTGTTTACCAAATACGAATTTTGGTTTTGCGTCCCGATTTCCAAACTGCTGACTCCCGAATTTCCTCTAAATAGACCCCCGAATCCCGCAACAGGGGGGAGTTGGGAGCCTCAATGAGGATCGGGTGGTCAGCTTGTCCGCCATCGTATGTCCTGGCCACGTGTCTCGTTGCTCTAGTTATCGACCATTGGATTTCTGGGGTCCGACTTGCTGTTTATACAGCTGCGGTATTGCTCATTGCTATTATACAAGGTCACTCATTCATTTTCAAGCAGGAAAGTTCACACATGTTCGTATTCACCAGAGTTCACATACTGGTGGATAGTTTAATTTCCGTACCTCTTATGTGAAGATCCGGGGTAGAATAGGTCTTCAGCAGCCCATGCGTGCCGTAAAAGGCGACTATGCTTGTCGTAAGAGGCGACTAACGTGATCTGTGGCCGTACAGTGTGTGGCAAAAATAGGTATCATCGTGTATTTCTTAAAGTGTTTTTGTAATCTGCTCTGCGTATATATACATTAATATTAAAGGTGTATTACTATGCCTACATCATATTTCGATATAGATCGCTATACTCAAATCTCTACTTAAAATTGACAGGTATCACAATATTTATTTTGAGCTGTTGCCTGGCTCACAAGGAAGTATTGCTATCAACCTGTTTGTGATTTGATTGGTTGTTAATTAGGCTTGTTCTGTTCATGATAATTGTATAATGCAATCTGATTTTGTGGGTATTTTTACATGATAAGCAGTACCTATGAAGATCCGGGGTAAAATAGGTCTTCAGCAACCCATGCTTGCTGTAAATGGCGACTATGCTTGTCGCGACTAATGAGATAGGGTGGTCAGGCTTGCTGACTTAGTTGATGCATGTCATCGTATCTCAATTGCGTGGATCGATGCTCATGATGTCAACCACTGGACTGTCTGGTTCACACTCGATTATTTACAGACAACCGTCATATAGCTGGAATACTGCGGCGTTAAACAACAAATAAACAAACAAACAAATCTTATTCTATTCAAAGGGCCATCTAAAATGTTACTTATGTGATTGTGACAATCGTACCTCGACGTGGTTAATTGCTCACGCTATCAATCTCTGGTTTGTCTAGTCATGTCGACTTCACACCCTCTGGGTCGACGGGATATAAGAGAAGATATTTAATTTCGTGATGTGGTCAAAATTGTTATTTTAACTCGTCACTCGTGAGAAATCACCCGAGGAGCTAAACAGCGTATTTGACGACCAACATTAAATATATTCTTTCTTTATATACCATTGGCAGTGAGATATTCTTATCTATCAGTGAAATATATCTCCTGTCTCAGCCGAGTGACGATAAACTGTTATCATAAAAAGTAATAATACTGCCGACAGCAACTGAAAACAACATTCACTCACTTTCCAAATATGCGTGAGATGGTATTTAATACCCATTTGCGATAACCCAGCGCATTTCTTCATTCTTGTATCGGGGGCACGGGTGGCCCAGTCGTCTAAGGCGCCGCGTTTCGCTGTGCAGAGTTTCGTCCCTTGGGCACGCCAGAAACCTATGATTGTGGGTTCGAATCCCGGTTCGCCCCGATTATGTTTCTAGGTTTGTCAGCACCATACCCGTGCTCGTGGGTTTCACCGAAGTGGTAAACGTCGGAGACCTGCATCACTTCGGGCTTTCCTCCCACGTTAAGCTGACACGCCGTGATGTAACTGGAATACTGTTAAAAGCGGCGTTCACTCACTCAATCTTGTATCATCATGATTTAACACTGGATAATCGAGTGTGCTTGAAAACCATAATCGTTTCCAGTTTCACGCGATGTCTCTCTCTGCCAGCTGTACACTTCGCCGAGTGTTTTCCGATTATCCTGCATACTCAAAACGTGTGGCTTTCAAGAAAGGCCGATAACAATTCAGCTGGAATTCGAAGATAAGGATGTGTCATCTTGATCTAGCTAGTTACAAGCAAACGAAGACATTCTTGGTGATTTGAGGTGAAATGAGGTTTAACGTCGCGTCCAATATTATTATACTTATAAAGCGAAGTGCATGCACGTGTGTGTACGCGCGTGTGTGTGTGTGCGTGTGTGTTTGTTTGTGTGCGTATCTGCTTGTATTAGTCCGGACTAATGCCGATTTTATAGTGCTAGCCGACTGAGATACCATGCCGCAGTTTAACATGAATACCCCACTCAGACACAGTATACTAACTCCGAGCCGACCAGTCCTTGTTTTTACCCCATAATGCCGAGCGCCAGGCAAGGTAACAACAAATACCATCTTTATCAACGTCTTTTGGAATGATTCGGGCGGGGGTTGAACCCCGAATCTTTCTGTCTCCGGAGGGACGCTCTAGCACAAGACCAGGGGGGCGGTCCTCATGCTTGGAGAATACCTTACCTTGGTTCAACAGTCGGGGGGGGGTCACGGGTGGCCCAGTCGTCTAAGGCGCCGAAATTCGCTGTGCAGAGTTGCGTCCCTTGGGCATGCCAGACACCTATGATCGTGGGTTCTAATCCCGATTATGTTTCTAGGTTTATCAGCACCATACCCGTGCTCGTGGGTTTCACCGAAGTGGTAAACGTCTGAGACCTGCATCACTTCGGGCTTTCCTCCCACATTAAGCTGACACGCTGTAACTGGAATAGTGTTAGAAGCAGCGTTAAACCCAACTCACTCAATCACTCAAGTTGATTGAATACACGTGGTCTCCATACCTTAGGGGTCGGTGGCTGCACAGGAGCGACAAATCCAGACTGTTGTGAGAGAGTTGGGTTTTACGGCGCTTTTAGAAATATTCCAGAAATATAAGATCATTTAACGACGGGATACACCATTAATGGCCGTCACACATTGTACCCATGTGGGGAATGGAACCCGGGTGTTCGGCGTGACGAGCGAACGCTTTAACCACTAGACTACCCCACCGCCCCTACAACACGGCATGTACCGTACTCACTGTAACGGACGCCTGGCTCAAAACAAATTGAAAGAACAGAATCTGGATCTAGTTCTAATCCATGCCGGGTCAGGTAAAACAAAGGACGAAAGATCCCCATTGATAATCAAAAAATGTATAGTCGCTAACTTACAATGGAGAACTAGGGACCGGGTCCCTATACACGCAGGATCCAGTAAAACAATAAATAAAACATCCCCATAAAGAATCATAAAATGAATGCTCCCTAATTTACGATAGAGAAGCGGGCCGGGTCAAGTCATTTGTTGTGCTAATGGTTGAATTGAAGTAGAACAACACCGTTCATGTGTATTAAAGAGATTTAAGCGTAAAACATCTAAATAACTATTCTACTACAATCCAAATGTTAACACATTCTGTAAAGTAAAGTCACGTGATTGTACAGATTTATCTGTGTTCATTTAAACATGTTTTTGTTTTTGTTTTGTTTTTCCTTTTTGTTTTTTGTTGTTGTTGTTTAACGCCGCAGCAATATTCCAGTTATATGGCGGCGGTCTGTAAATAATCGAGTCTGGGCTAGACAATCCAGTGATTGATATCATGACCATCGATCCACGCAATTGGGATACGATGACATGCATCAACCAAGTCAGCGAGCCTGACCACCAAATCCTGTCAGTCGCCTTTTACAACTGACAGTCATTTGGGTCATTTATCATGGTATGAAACTAAGAAAATGTATGGATTTGTTACCCACCCCAGACAATGTACTGTAGGCTTTGGCCTCATCGTATACTGAATAAAAGACTGACTGATAGTCATTCATTCACTGTACACAGTGATCCAGACGGTCCCTTTAGCTATACATGTAAACAGACTATATAGGAACGTTCCTTTAGCTATACATGTAAACAGACTATTAAGGAATGTCCCTTTAGCTATACATGTATACAGACTATTTAGGAACGTGCCTTTAGCTATACATGTAAACAGACTATTTAGGAACGTCCCTTTAGCTAGACATGTAAACAGACTATATAGGAACGTCCCTTTAGCTATACATGTAAACAGACTATATAGGAACGTCCCTTTAGCTATACATGTATACAGACTATTTAGGAACGTCCCTTTAGCTATACATGTAAACAGACTATTTAGGAACGTCCCTTTAGCTATACATGTATACAGTCTATTTAGGAACGTCCCTTTAGCTATAAATGTAAACAGACTATTTAGGAACGTCCCTTTAGCTATACATGTATACAGACTATTTAGGAACGTCCCTTTAGCTATACATGTATACAGACTATTTAGGAACGTCCCTTTAGCTATACATGTATACAGACTATTTAGGAACGTCCCTTTAGCTATACATGTATACAGACTATTTAGGAACGTTCCTTTAGCTATACATGTAAACAGACTATTCAGGAACGTCCCTTTAGCTATACATGTAAACAGACTATATAGGAACGTCCCTTTAGCTATACATGTAAACAGACTATTTAGGAATGTCCCTTTAGCTAGACATGTAAACAGACTATTTAGGAACGTCCCTTTAGCTATACATGTAAACAGACTATTCAGGAACGTCCCTTTAGCTATACATGTAAACAGACTATTTAGGAACGTCCCTTTAGCTATACATGTAAACAGACTATATAGGAACGTCCCTTTAGCTATACATGTATACAGACTATTTAGGAACGTCCCTTTAGCTATACATGTAAACAGACTATTTAGGAACGTCCCTTTAGCTATACATGTATACAGACTATTTAGGAACGTCCCTTTAGCTATACATGTAAACAGACTATATAGGAACGTCCCTTTAGCTATACATGTAAACAGACTATATAGGAACGTCCCTTTAGCTATACATGTATACAGACTATTTAGGAACGTCCCTTTAGCTATACATGTAAACAGACTATTTAGGAACGTCCCTTTAGCTATACATGTATACAGTCTATTTAGGAACGTCCCTTTAGCTATACGTGTAAACAGACTATTTAGGAACGTCCCTTTAGCTATACATGTATACAGACTATTTAGGAACGTCCCTTTAGCTATACATGTATACAGACTATTTAGGAACGTCCCTTTAGCTATACATGTATACAGACTATTTAGGAACGTCCCTTTAGCTATACATTTATACAGACTATTTAGGAACGTTCCTTTAGCTATACATGTAAACAGACTATTCAGGAACGTCCCTTTAGCTATACATGTAAACAGACTATATAGGAACGTCCCTTTAGCTATACATGTAAACAGACTATTTAGGAATGTCCCTTTAGCTAGACATGTAAACAGACTATTTAGGAACGTCCCTTTAGCTATACATGTAAACAGACTATTCAGGAACGTCCCTTTAGCTATACATGTAAACAGACTATTTAGGAACGTCCCTTTAGCTATACATGGAAACAGACTATATAGGAACGTCCCTTTAGCTATACATGTATACAGACTATTTAGGAACGTCCCTTTAGCTATACATGTAAACAGACTATTTAGGAACGTCCCTTTAGCTATACATGTATACAGACTATTTAGGAACGTCCCTTTAGCTATACATGTAAACAGACTATTTAGGAACGTCCCTATAGCTATACATGTATACAGACTATTTAGGAACGTCCCTTTAGCTATACATGTAAACAGACTATTTAGGAACGTCCCTTTAGCTATACATGTAAACAGACTATTTAGGAACGTCCCTTTAGCTATACATGTAAACAGACTATTTAGGAACGTCCCTTTAGCTATACATGTATACAGACTATTTAGGAACGTCCCTTTAGCTATACATGTAAACAGACTATTTAGGAACGTCCCTTTAGCTATACATGTATACAGACTATTTAGGAACGCCCATTTAGCTATACATGTTTATGGACCAAGTAGGAATGTATCGCTAGCTATACATGTTTATGAACTAAGTAGGAATGTCCCGTTAGCTATATATGCATTTAGACTAATTAGAAATGGCCCTGAGCTATACGTGTACTGCAACGATCGCTAAGACAGGTTTCTTGATTCACGGGGTCGGACTATCTAGTTATCGTACTTACTGTATGCTTATTATTCCTATCAGGTATGACAAATAGCAAACTATGCGTACACTGAAACCTGGTTAGTCAAGACCCTGTGAATCCGGGCATCTCGGACGATGCTGGTAACTGTTCTAACTACGTTCAAATGACATTGCCATAACAATGATTCGTTAATCCGGACATTAATATTCCCGACAATGTCATTCGGAGCGACACAGTCCGGATTAACGGGGGTTTACAGTACAGAACGTGTTTCTAGAGTGAGTTAAAATTTAACGTCGCATCGGCATTATCTCAGCCATATAGCGACGTGTTTCTAGATTGGGAGCAAGTGACGAGTGCATATATCCTTCTCTATAACAAAAGCGAACTATATTGAGTACATACTTTTCAGTCTAATCTTCGCAAGTCACAGTTCAGCGAGCGTGTCTCGCTCACTGTTCACAGAAAGTACTTGCTCTCGCCGCAGTCGCTCCATTGTGCTGAGGAATGTAGGCATGCGATACACGGCGCGTATTTAAAAAGCGTGGCCTGTGTTTATATATGCCCAGCACCTATATAATATGAAATGACGCTATATTGTGTGGCTACCTGATCTGACCTACTTATACTTCGAGTCACAGAACTGCAAAGGTGAGTTACCTGTGTTCGAGAGTTCATCATTGTGCCATTAGATTGGCACCATCCTTGGAAAATATACCGTTGAATATTGTATGGGTTCTTGCAGTGCTAACTGCTTGTAAATCAGTTTATTGACGTTTGTGTAAAGTGTCACAAACGATTCAGGGTGGGGTGTATTTTTCTATAGATGTTACTGACGTGTTTGATAATCTATACCAACGTAATGAACTTGAGCTTTCCAACGTGGCTCGTTTGCTTCGTGAATGTTTCAAATTCTTTTTTGGTCCGATCCCGTTTCGGTTCATCCATAGACTTTGTGTCTCTTGTTCAATGAAACAACATAGCTATTAAGCTGTCTATCAACAGCTTTTGACTAGCCGCGAAAAAAAATACTTCCATGCAATATGAAATACTAAATTTAAGACTTGGCATGTGACGTATGTAATTATATGAATATGGCTTTGCAGTGTATTTTGAGCGCTTTTGGGATTGTGAGGGCTGTTATGGAATTCGCACGAATCGACATTCACAAAGATTATTGTGTACGCTGTTGTCATGTATAAATATACATGAAAGAAAACGTAAGCAGGTGAGTGTTTACTTTGTAATGTGAGACATCTTTTTGACGTCACGCCTTCGTGTATGCACTTGTGTATCTTACTACAACATCGGTTGCAGTTCATGTCGCATGAATGTCTTTGTATATGACTGTCACTTTTTACACTCCACTTAAGTCAACAGGGTCCGTATCGTCTTCCTTAGAATACATTATTACAACAAGCCTGACGTTCTAGCAGTTGACCCAATCAACACGCTCACGTTCTCTTATTATTTAATAGGATTTCGTATATTATTTTGAAATTTGGCATCTAGGACAAAAATGACAAAACGTTGCATTTTCATATTGCAGTGTTGAATGTTAATATGAAGTAAAACTCAAATTCAATATACATTTTTTCGATCCGATACATAAAATAAAATATTGCAGCACAGAACACGGGATCAGTTTGAATGTACACTAACCGTTTGATCCTTTGTATGATTGATATCATTTCACTCTGTATTTTGAAGCTTTCGCCTTATTAATCGCATATTACATTATAATGATGATTATTATTGTTGTTATTATCATTAATGTTGGTGGTGGTTGTATCGTAGTCATCATCGTCACTACTACTACTACTACTACTACTACTACTACTACTACTACTTATGACATTATCATCATCATTAATAATTACCACATTCCCAATTGCGTAGATCGATGCTCATCTGGTCAATCACTGAATGGTCTGGTCCAGTCTCGATTGTTTGCAGACCGCCGCCATTGCTGAGTGCGGCGTTATATAACAAAACAATTATCACGTTGCCTTCAATTATAGCATTATCGTTACTGTCATCACCATCGTCATAAACATTATTATTATTACACAAGTATTATTAGTTTTGTTTGTCGCTTGACAGGACACCTGCGTTAAAGTTATTATTCACACGCCCTGGTCTGAATGTGGAGGTCACTTTGACACGACACACATGCAGCGCATGCGTTTTGACGTGGCGGTGGTATGCAGTTCACAGATAAGCAACCTGATTGGATTAATCAGGCACCAAGCCATGCCTTTATCTCAGAACATCAAGGTCAACTGAGTTTACGAATCCCGTGCAATACCTTCATTCTCGAAAACGCTCCCCACCGTGCCTGATTGCCCTGTAATACCGCGTGTACGTGAAGGCTGTGATGGTGGATACTTGCCGCGGCCATTTGTTTCTTGTTGGCGATTTACAGTTTGTATTAAGCATTTTTTCTCATAATTGTAATTTATTTTACACAATCGTGAATATAGTGTAGTTCTATCTTGTATTTATAACACTCGACGTGTTGCAGCTCATTGTGGGCCCGGAGTGCTCAGCGGTCTAAGAATTCGTGGGTTCGAATACCACATTCGTCCCAATTGTGGTACAGTAAACTACGGTTATAACGAACTCAAAGGGACTACTAATTTTAGTTCGTTATAACCGTAGTTCGTTATAAGCATATATACAGCATAACGACAGCAAATAGTCGGGACAAAAAAGTAGGTTCGTTATATCCGTCAGTTCGTTATAAGCGTGTTCGTTATAAACGTAGTTTACTGTACTTGGTTGCCACCGTATGCTCGTGTTCACGGGTTTCACAATATTTTGAACATTTACGGTCCGAGTCACGTCTTTCCTCACCGTGGTGACCGCCTCTGAGGTTTAGTGGTAGAGTATCTGTCCTGAGAGCGAAAATTTCGGGTTTCGATTCCCGGCCGCTTCATACCAATAGACGTTAAAAGATGGTACTTAATAGTGTTACCCTGCCTGCATGGCGCTGGGGATTAATGGCTAAATCAAGGACTGGTCTGCACGGGGTCAGTGTGTGAGAGGGATATTTTTGTTAAACTGGGGCATGGATTCTCAGCGGGCTATAAAAGCGGCAGTAGTTCTGGATAGTACTCGTATCCACACACACGCACGCACGCACGCACACACACACGTGCATGCACGTCGCTATATAAGTGCAATGGTCTTGAACACGACGTTAAACCCTTTAAGACCGCCTCCGTGGTCTAGTGGTAGAGCGTCCGCCCGGTTCGATCCCCGGCCGCGTCATACCAAAAGACGTTAAAAGACGGTACTTGTTGTTACCCTGTCTGGCGCTCGGCTTTAAGGGGCTTAAACAATGTCAGTATACTGTGTCTGAGAGGGGTATTCATGTTAAACTGCGGCATGGTATCTCAGTGGGCTAGCACTATAAATCGGCATCAGTCCGGACTAGTACAAGCAGCCACACAAACACGCACACGTACATGCACGTCGCTATATGAGTGCAATAATCTTGGACGCGGCGTTAAACCCCATTTCACCTCACCACCTTAAACCCCATTACACCTCATCACCTTAAACCCTTTAAATACAAGTCACTCACTCATGTGACATCTTATTGACATACGAGAACTGTCCATTTTGACTTATGCAAGTCACGTGAGTGAATGAGTTGGGCTTTAGGACACTTTGTCCAGTATTCCAGTTATATCACGACGTGTAAGCTTGGTATGTCATAAAAACCCGAAGTGATGCAGGGGTTAGACCTTTACCTCTGCTGAATTCCACGAGTGTTGACAAACCTAGAAACACAATCGGGTCAAATCTGGGATACCAACACACTATCAAGGGGTTCGTGTAGACAAAGGGACGCAACTTTGCTCAGCGAAAGGCGGTGCTTTTGACGACCGAGTCATCCCTCCAGTAGTGTGAGTGAATGTTGTTTAAACGCCGCAACGAGCAACGATCATGGCAGTGACAAAACAACGAATCACGTCACACGCAGGGACCGTCCTCTAGATGTTGATACAGGGGCAGGGGCGATCCAGTCGTCCGAGGCGTCGCAATTCGCTACGTAGAGTTGCGTCCCTTGGGCATTCAAGGGACCTTTGATTGTGGGTTCGAATCCAGGTTCGCCACGATCATGCTTGTAAGCAACATACCTCTGCTCGTGGATTTCATCAAAGGGGTAACCGTCTGAGACTGCATCACTTCGTGTTTTCCTCCCATGCCGTGTTATATTTGTAATAGTGTTAAAATCGGCCTTAAACCAAACCCATCCACTCGTACCACTCTAGACCCTCGTCAGGATTCCAGAGCAAGTGAGATTGTTAGCGTCAAAGTCTTGTCTTATGATCCAGTTTATGAAGATATGGTTATAACAGTTTGTGTTCCAAATGTGTACCATCTCATCTCGACGCCGTGGATCGTTGTTCATACTATCAACCCCTTGTCTGATAATCCCATATTCTATTGTTTAGTGATGTCGCGGGGGACGCGGGTGGCCCAGTCGTCTAAGGCGCCGCGATTCGCTGTGCAGAAAATTGCGTTCCTTGGGCACGCCAGAAACCTGTGATTGTGGGTTCGAATCCCGGTTCGCCCCGATTATGTTTCTAGGTTTGTCAGCACCATACCCGTGCTCGTGGGTTTCACCGAAGTGGTAAACGTCTGAGACCTGCATCACTTCGGGCTTTCCTCCCACATTAAGCTGACACGCCGCGATATAACTGGAATACTGTTAAAAGCGGCGTTAAACAAAACTCACTCACTCACTAGTGATGTCGCTGAAATATTGCTGCCAGGTACGTTAATATTCACTCACACAGAGATCTCAAACAATGTTTCTTAATTCCAGATGTCCGTCAAGGTGAACGTCTGGCTGCCGACCACGTTCCAAGATGGCGTCAAGACCAAGGCTCACGCCAGCCTTGAACTTTCCGACGGCACCTACATCAGCTGGGCCTTCAGGAACAATGACGACACCAGACACGACGACATCATGAGACAGTCATTTCGCGAGGATCTGAAACGGGAACAGAGACGACCAGAGAAAACCTACTTCATCAAACCCGGCAAACTTGAAGAGGACGCCATGAAAGCATGGTGGACAAAATGGTGGCGAGACGACGTGTGGCGCCGACAGATGCCCGTGTGGCCGCTGTACACGGTGTTCGAAGCCTTGTCGGTGGGTCAGAAGGGTTACGATATCCCCGAAGCGCAAGGGATATATATGAACCATAAACAGTTGATCAAATACATGAAAAGTAACAAGCTTATTATAACCAACGGGAGTTGTGTGGTGACATGAGACGGAAAGGAACGTTGTCAAAAGTGCTGTGAATATTCTCTTTTGTGCTACAGTTTGGATTCGAAGATTGCCATTTGGTGCTTGTATGGAGCCGTTGCAGCGTCATTGATATGTGTTGTTATTCTGTTCGTGTTCACTGGTTAGCGAGTGCCAACAAGATGACGTCATCGTCATTATTATTCTTCGCCCATGCGCATCTAATCAAATTTTGTCTTGAACATGTTTGAAACGGCAATTTTACTTCTTACGAGAATATTAATGATCTGAATGTTCCGTGTACAGACTTCTTTGGTGTGCTGATAATGACAAAGATGACGTTTGTATAAATCTTTAACCGTCATAACAGATGAAACTGTTCAAAGTGAGAAAATATATAAATGTGATGAAGAACAGCGTACATGCCTCATTTAAAAAAAATATGTTTAAAAAAAGAGACTGGTTAATATATGTATGGCATAATGGGTTTTTTTAAAAATAAAACATAATTCGTTTAGAAATGCTTCATTTTCTTTTCGATGAGGGGCTCGTCACGCCAAAGATCCGGGTTCGATTCCCGACATGGGTACAATGGGTGAAGCCCATTTCTCCTGTCCCCCGTCATGATATTGCTGGAATATTGCGAAAAGCGGCGTAAAACCATACTCACTCACTTTTCGATTATTATCAGTTCGAGGTTAACAAGGATGTTAGTGTTCGGCCGAGTCAGAAACATGGCGTTTACGTTGCTTTTCAAGCTGTTTTCGTCATATCGCGGCGTGTCAGCTGTGACATATCACTCAGGGGAGATCCCCACTTGAAACTTGAAGGATCATAATCAAGGCACATTTGGGATTCGAACACGCAAACAGGATATCCGTGTTTGTCGACCATTACGCATGCATTCTTCATCCCAAACCCATACGCATTGATAATGGACGCGAATAAGTTACTTTGCAAGTCCTCTGCAACAAAAATGTCTGTTGAATAAATCTATCAGTTTTTAATGGCATGTTTCATATAACCTACACTTCTATTCAGGTAGGCGCGGTGGGGTAGCATAGTGGTTAAAGCGTTCGCTCGTCACACCGAAGACCCTGGGTCGATTCCCCACATAGGTACAATGTGTACCCATTTCTGGTGTGCCCTTTCCGTGATACTGCTGGAATTTTGCTCAAAGCGACGTAAAACCATACTCACTCATTCGCTCTGTTCTGGTAAGATATACACACAATGTTCCAGGTGTCATTGGTTGATTTTCTTCAATCGAACGGTGAAATCCATTCTTGGCATAAGGCTTCTGTGCTTGTGCGATGTGACGTCAGTTGTGTTCTACGTAATCCAAGTGGAGCATGCCAAATGACGTCGGCCAAGGACTCGCATGTTCATGCATTGGACCACAATGTGTCAAAACTAAAAAAATAATACCGTATTCGACGTAATAGGCGCGCCGCTCTAATATGCGCCCACGGCGATATTTGCTAATATATTGGCCAGTGAACAATCACAATTAGCACCCATTCCGATTGATCAATGTAAACTTGTTTATTCGTGTATAATACGCACTCGTGTGTTATATGCACCTTTAATTATCGGCAATTAAATTCTGGAAAATATATCTGTCGTGTATAATACGCACAGACTTTTCTTTTGTATCATTTCAGGCTGTCAGCATAAACCACGAAATTGACGATCTTTCAACTCTGTTTTATTCTCGCCAAAATTATATTCTAATAAGAGCCCCCTACTTTTACTTTTGAGTGCGCCCTGGGCGCTTATTACGTCGAATACGGTACACCCAGGAAAGACACTGACCGCTTGTCTGGCCCAGACTCGAATGATATGTTTGTTTGTTTATTTGTTGTTTAACGCCTCACTCAGCAATATTCCAGCTATATGACGGCGGTCTGTAAATAATCGAGTCTGGACCAGCCAATCCAGTGATTGCCATCGTGAGCATCGATCAACGCAATTAGGATACGATGACATGGATCGACCAAGTCAGCGAGCCTGACCACCCGATCCCGTTAGTCGCCTCTTACGACAAGCATAGTCCCCTTTTACAGCAAGCATGGGTTGTTGTAGACCTATTCTACCCCGGATCTTCATGGGTCAGACTCGAATGGCACGTAGTCCTATGCACAGCGCACAGGTCACAAATCAGGTAAAGTTGAGCAACTTGGTCGCGGAAACTCCTTGGATGGTAGCTGAGAGTTTCTAGGTCTTCGGTCCTGCCCCACACTGAAGCACATGTAACCCATGTAGTGTTTCCTTGGACAAGTGACATTGTCCGAAATGTACCTCTGTTCACCCAGCAGTGAATGGGTACCCGGTAGGATGAGATGGCAATGTGGTAGTTAACTTTCTAGCGCCTAACGGACCGCCTCCGTGGTCTCGTGGTAGAGCGTCCGCCCGGAGAGCGGAAGGTCGGGGGTTCGATCCCCGGCCGCGCCATACCAAAAGACGTTAAAAGATGGTACTTGTTGTTACCCTGTCTGGCGCTCGGCATTAAGGGGCTAAAACAAGGACTGGTCGGCTCGGAGTCAGTATACTGTGTCTGAGTGGGGTATTCATGTTAAACTGCGGCATGGTATCTCAGTGAGCTAGCACTATAAATCGGCATCAGTCCGGACTAGTACAAGCAGCCAGACAAACAGACACACGTACATGCACGTCGCTATATAAGTGCAATAATCTTGGACGCGACGTTAAACCCCATTTCACCTCACCTCACCTTCTAGCGCCTAACAGGCAGCTTGCGTGGTGGAGAATGATTGTAGAGTGCAAACTGATCATATGACCGGGGAATAATAGAGCTTTAAGCATGCCTCTGAGTGGTATGGAAATATGCAAAATATAAATGGCCTATTATTATTTTTATTATTATTATTATTATTCATTGAAAAGTCTTACGAAAGACACTGTCACTCGTGAAATGCAGAACTATTATGAACTTTCTCGGTTCGCTTCCACTAGAGGTATTACCGCGTTCTATCCTGACTTGTTACCGCATGTCAGATTTAACTGTACAGGTTCTGTACTTGCAATGTGGACGTGAATACACACTGTACATGTTAACATGTCAAATGTCTTTGTCACCAGTTAAGGCCGTGAAAAATTCAAAATGAGACAAACGTCAGTAAAATCATACCATCGATTGTGTGTCATCATTATTCTAATGGGCCATGTTGCGCCTCGAAGGGAAGATGTGAAGTATAAGTAACGCCATATGTGTTGTGAATCTATCCTTAATGTGAATCAATGCACAGCATATTATGAACAAGAGATCTCTCTCTGAGGCGAGTGGGACATCCTCGCGCAACTACTGATCTAAGGGACGTAACTCTTGTGTTTGATGGCGCGGCCTCGATATTGTCAACGAACGCGGAAATAATTCTGAGCTAAACCCGAATGTAACAACTATCCGTGTAGGGAAACCACCTCTTCTTGTGAAACTCGAACTGTCGAGGAAGCTGTCAATAAATGCGCATGTTATTATTCTCTTGCGATAAGATTTATAAAGAATATCTACAATGCGAAGTAGGCTATAGTTCCCGCTTTGCGAAATCATTCAGCCTGTCGTTGAGTGTGCTTTGTCTCTCCAACAATCTTTATTGAAACAGCTTACACTTGGTCGACTGCAAAATGTCATTATCGATGGAATATCGCATTTGCGAAAAATTTCACGACGACTGTTTTCGATTAGTTCCCCTGACAAGATCATCGCTGGGTGGCGCTGCTAAAGGGCATGGGGTTAAAGGGCAAGGTCACCTCGAATGATAAACAACTCGTGGGTTCAACTTCCCCATGTAAACTGTTCGTGGACTTGACCCTGAATGCATTTTGAACAGAAACGTAAGCCACCTGCTTTATATTTCCTTCAGATAACTCCGAGATGTATTATTCATGAAAGTTAGTTTTCGTGCGGCATTTATGACATATTACAGAGGCTCGAGTTCGCCTGCCGTACCATAAAGGTAGGCGTATGAATATATACCGTTCCCAATTGCGCATGGGCAAAAATGTAGTCCAAGGCTTGGAGAGCGTAGTTCTTGAACAGAGGAAAGCGCTGCTTCAGTAGAATCTAGTCCCGTAATAGGTCAAATATATAGTGAAATTCCAATGTATGTAAATAGCATATCATGTTGTGACAAAATTACCGCAGTTGACTTTTTATCATAATGTAGATCCACTGCGATCTTCAATCTCGACCGCAGAGATTCAGGTAAGCTGCGTATATTTACGTAAAATACGCAAAGTAAATCACCTTAACCTATATATTTGAGTAAATAAAAGCTTTTAAAAACCCTATTGTATAATAACCGTGTGTGTAATTACCCAATGTAGCTTTTTCAGCTTGCCTACCCGAATATCTTTACACGTCTATAGGGGCGGTGGGTAGCCCGGTGGTTGTAGCGTTCGCTCGTCACGCCGAAGACCCGGGTTCGATTCCCGACATGGGTACAATGTGTGAAGCCCATTTCTGGTGTCCCCTGCCGTGATATTGCTGGAATATTGCTAAAAGCGGGAGTTAAAATATGTATACAAAATGAAAAAAATCAAATACTCAATAATAACATGTGAGTAAATACCCAATGGCTTATAACATTGTAGTTGAATTTTAAGCAAAGATAAGATTATCAATATCAATTTTGTTGCAGTGAGAGTGATCCTTCGTGAAATGTGAAGGGGCGGTGGGGTAGCCTAGCGGTTTCGTCTTAAGAAAAGACCGAGCATATTTATTTTCAAACGAAATTGATGATTCTCCCAAACTATTCAGAACACTTACAGAGTTAGAAGTTAGACTATTAAAACTGAACAGTGACTATTACAGTTAAATTTCGAAATAATATCCTTTGCAAACATCTAATTCTGTTTGTCTAATCTTGATTAATATCTAAAAAAACAAGATAGTGTCACGAATATCCGAACAACTAGGTCACAGTGGAATAATTAAGACACCACAATTATTCCGAGGTCGTAGGTTCGAACATAGCTCCAGATAAGCTTTTGGTGTTGTGGGTATTTTACCCATGCATTTTAAAATCATTGGGTATCAGTAATTCTATCTGGGTATTCAAATTTCTGTTACCCCCTAGTTATACCCCCGTTTACGAAGTAAATCGGCCGGGGGGTATATAGCGTTCCGTCTTTCCCTCCGTCCGTCCTTCCGTCCGGAGCGTTTGTACGGCCCATAACTTTGTAACTATGCACCCTAGCTTCACCACACTTGCTACACACATTAACCACAACGAGTACTTGTGCCTTTTGCTAGTTTGAAGATTCTGATTTTTTAAAAATTAAATGAAAATTTAAATTTTTGCCGTTTCCATGGACACATTAAGAAACATCGAGAATGTATGTTGTGCTAAGCATTGATTATCCCACACTAGATTGAAATATATTTGCAAAAACATGTGTTCTTTTCAAACATAATGCATCCTCATGGAGTTACAAAGGAAAGGGCAGTTCCTCTGACTTAAAGCAAGAGGTATATTTCTTTAATTAACAACTATTTACTATTTGTTGTTGACCAGTGGGGATAACGGGGGTATGTGAGCTTTGCTCACTTCTTTCTTGTTTTTACACATGTGGGTATTTAAGTTAAATATTTAAAAACACTATTCATCTAGTCCCTGCAAACTGGTGTCGTGTGGGTTCGAGAGCTTTATAGGACTAAAAAATACCACGATACTTCCACAAGAAAGTGTGATGGCAAATGATCATGATGTAACTGTCATCGTGGAGTTTGGCAAGGTTGACGGAATACCCGTTTATAATTTCAAAATAAGTGCTGATTTGCTAATCAAATACGCAGGGTTACTTCACAATATTTTGGTGATACACACAAGTTTTATTTTTGTAGCGTATCTGTAATGTTCGTTGCGTATTTGATACGCTTGGATTTGATTTTACTGCATATTTCTGCATATCTGATGCGTATTTTACGCAGATACGCAGCTTATCTGGAGCTCTGTTCGACTCCCCAGATTCATCCGTGTAGTATAGAGGACGAGTGACTGTAACGGGATATTAAGATACTGTTGACTGGCGAGGTGAGGTTAGGTGAAATGGGGCTTAGCGCCGCGTTCACGATTAATGTACTTACATAGCGACGTGTGTGTGCGTGTCGGGGAGGGTTGTTTGTACTTGTCCCTACTAATGCCGATTTTGTCAACACTGTGTAAAAGGCGAATAAGCTTGTCGTAAGAGGCGACAAACGGGATCGGGTGGTCAGGCTCGCTGACTTGGTTGATGCATGTCATCGTATCCCAATTGCGTGGATCGATGGTCATGCTATCAATCATTGGATTGTCTGGTCCAGACTCGATTATTTACAGACCGCCGTCATTATAGCTGGAATATTGCTGAGTGCAGCGTTAAACAACAAAACAAACAAACAAAACAACACTGTGCGCGTGCTTGTGGGTTTCACCAAAATGTCAAACGTCTAACACCTGCATTACTTCGGGATTTCATCCCACACCTGACTGAAATACTGTTCAGAGCGGCGTTAAACCAAACTCACTCACTCACGCAACAAGAATGTTTGTTGGTTTGTTGTTTAACGCCGCACTCGGCAATATTCCAGTTATATATAATCGAGTCTGGACCAGACAATGCTGTGATTTACATCACGAGCACTGGTCCATGCAATCTGGATACGATGACATGCATCAACCAAGTCAGCGACCCTGACCACCCGATCCCGTTAGTCGCCTCTTTCCTCAAGAATATGAGTCAATACAATATACTATGTCAGTAAATTGTTGCATGAGTGAGTGAGTTGGGTTTAACCCCCTTAAGTTATGTCATGGCCTATCAGTTTACCGCGTGAAGGGGGTGAGATAAAATGGGCTTTGACGTTGCACTTGTATAGCGATGTGCATGCACGTGGGTGTTTGGATATGTGTACTAGTTTGAACTAATGCCGGTTTAATAGTGCTAGCCCACTGAGATACCGTGCCGCAATTTAACATGGCAATCCCACTCAGACATCGTATACTGACTCCCTGCCAATCAGTCATCGGTTTATCCTAGCCCTTAATGCAGGCATCGTAACATCAAGTACCATGTTTTGGGACCCGTGAAGATTTCGGGGTAGAATAGGTCTTCAGCAACCCATGCTTGCCGTAAAAGGCGACTATGCTTGTCGTAAGAGGCGACTAACGGGATCGGGTGGTCAGGCTCGCTGACTTGGTTGATGCATGTCGTCGATCCCAATTGCGTTGATCGATGCTCATGATGCCAATCACTGGTTTGTCTGGTCCAGACTCGATTATTTCACAGACCGCCGTCATATAGCTGGAATATTGCTGAGTGCGGCGTAAAACAACAAATCAACCAACCAACCAACCATCTTTTGGTATGACGCGGCCCGGGATCGAGCACCGCCCGTCAGTTCTCCGGGCAGACGATGTACAGTAAACAGTTGTTAATCTCGCAAAAATAATAATAATAATAATAATAATTAATAATAGGCCATTTATAATGCGCATATTTCCACACCTCTCGGGGGTATGCTCAAATCGCTATTTTTACCCGGTCACTTGATCAGAAATAACGCGATTATTAATTACCGGATGGCTGAAAATGTGCTAACACTTATAACGTGAAAACAAGAAGCCATTCCATCGATACGGGGGGCGGTCGGGTAGCCTAGTGGTTAAAGCGTTCGCTCGTCACGCCGAAGACCCGGGTTCGATTCCCGACATGGGTACAATGTGTGAAGCCCATTTCTGGTGTCCCCCGCCGTGATATTGCTGGAATATTGCTAAAAGCGGCGTTAAACCATACTCACTCACTCACTCCAGCGATACGGAATAAATCACTGTCAAATATAGCAATGTAGGCTTTTCAACAAATATCCATTTTGCCAGCCCTGTACCCTGGGTGTGCATCATAACCAGGGAACCAGGCTACCATTTTGCTAGCGTTAAACATCATCTAGTTTTGGTCACGAGCGTAAACAGTTGGAGAGCGGGCGTCTATACTTAGCAGTGCAGTTCACCTTCCCCTCCAACTTCGCCGCCCAGGTGTCTGTTTATCCCTCGGTGTACATGCAGCTTGAACGACACTGTCATATGTAGTGAACTGCATCATGGGTAGACACTTGTACTACACGTGACCCAAATGACAAAAGCCCATTGGATCAGAGACTGTGCATATGTTGTAATTATCCTTGGTCCGTGGGGTCAAAGTAGAAAAAGGTGTAGGCCTGTGCCAATTAAACTGACAAGCCGTCATGTAAATAAAATATATCAAAATGGCGTCAGGCTCACTGGTTCATATTGCACCTGGCAGTGAGTGGTTGGTTATGTCTTGTTTAGACCGCCTCCCTGGTCTAGTGGCAGAGCGTCCGTCCGGAGAGTCCGGATTAGTACAAGCAGCCACACGCAAGCACACACACACACACACACACACACACACACGTGCATGCACGTCGCTATATAAGTGCAATAATCTTGGACGCGGCGTTGAACCCCATTTCACCTCACCTCGCCCAAAAAACCAGCTTCGTTTTAGAAGCAGGCCCAGTTTTCTAAAATTATATTGGCGTAGTGTTGCTAAAAGCCTCGCTGAACGCCATTTAAACACATCGAATCGAAACCGGTTCACCTCGAAATACTTTCTGGGACCCATAGGGCGTCGCCATTGTGTGAGCGGTCTCCTGCTGACCCACACGGCGAACACAGTCTGGCGTGATGTGGCAGGAATATTGATATCGTGAGTTTTTCAGAACACACCAAGCATGTCCAGTAAGCAAAACTTTATAGTAAAACCTTGAAACAAGCATTTTAGGGAACTAGTTATGGTTCCAAACATTTCACAGAGCATTCATTTTTTAACTGCAGGTGCAGAAGACTGCGCAGAATGGCGTCTAATGAAGCTGGAAGCAGGTACGTCCTTAGTGCAATACATACAACTACAAGTACCATTATTATTACTATCATCATCATCATCATCATTATTATTATACAGATTCAAATAAATAAGGACAGAAAAGAGGGTTTGGGTCATCATCATCATCATCATCATTATTATTATACAGATTCAAATAAATAAGGACAGCAAAGAGGGTTTGGGTGATCCTGACACAGTCAGGCTGGTTAGACTCATCATCAGCTCAGGGCCCTTGCCTCTGCGCGCAGCCCATACAGCGAATGGAACTTCTCCCAGGAAGCGCTGCCTACTCAAACCCACCCAGAACTTATCGGAGAATGTGAAGACTCCCCAACACTGCAGCCTTCTGCATAACCCAGATTGTGAGAAGGGCTGTGTGCCTGGTGTCAAACCCGGCTACTCTCCCAATGTCTGGCAACAGATTGGGAGGTACCAAACCCGAGGCACCGAGGACCATTATGGATAGCTGGACAACTTGGTACTTGGGATGCAAGCGTGACATTTCGAAAGCGAGGTCCCCAAATGTGCCATGTTTCTCCTGAACCTTATCGATCACATTCGTGTCAAAAGGGACAGAACATTCAGTGGTATAAATGATTTCTTTGCATTATCAAAAAGGACAAGATCAGGTTTTTTGGCCTGGATAGGTCTGGGGCTGTATATAGGCCAATTCCAAAACAAATTGTATTTATCATTTTCCATGACGCCCCCTACATATTCCGGGTCGTACCATGGATGGACCTCTGTGTCAAATCCACAAGCATGGCGAAGACGGTAATAATAGGGTCGATCAGTGGACAGCCTCTCCGAGAAGTCGTGTTCGATTTGTTACGGCACATCACTTGGTTGACACTCATTTCTATACCGTCCAGCAGTACAGAAGCATCAACAAAATCAACATTGACATACAGATTATGTCCCACATCATTGGCTCGTTTTAGAAAACTGAGGAATGCCTTGTTTTCATCATGAGTCTTGACATGCTTCACAAGAGGATCATCAGCGATTCTATCGTGAAGAACCTCCACCTTAATCGAACCACTATGCTGGTCGTAAGAGGCGACTAACGGGATCGAGTGGTCAGGCTCGCTGACTTGGTTGATGCATGTCATCGATCCCAATTGCGTAGATTGTCGGGTCCAGACTCGATTATTTACGGACCGCCGTCATTTAGCTGGAATATTGATGAGTGCGGCGTTAAACAACAAACAAAACAAAAACAACAACAATGTTACCAATGCTGTTACTCTCTCAAGCAATGATGTAACTGTAGAATGGGTCCATGGCCTCCAGTGCGGCGTTAAAAAACAACCAACCAACCATCAATCCAACAGTAATCAACTTTTAAGCGGATTTACATTTCAAGTTAATAAATAACATAGTGTCTAATCGTCAAATTTTTATACTGACAAAAAAACATTTTCATTGTAAGCATAAACGGGAGATACGTGAAAGAGCAGTTACCGTATTCGACGTTATAAGCGCCCACGGCGATATTTGCTAATATATTGGCTAGTGAACAATACCTATTAGCACCCCTTCTGATTGATCAATGTACACAGCACTTATTTATTCGCGTATAATACGCATTCGTGTGTTATATGCACCCTTAATTATGGGCAATTATATTCTGGAAAAATGTATCTCTCGTAAATAAACATTTCAGGCTGTCTAGTCAGCATAAACCACAAAATTTTATCTTTCAACTGTTTTTTTTCCACCAAAATAATATTCTAATAAGAGCCCCCTATTTCTACTTTTGAGAGCGCCCTGGGCGCTTATTACGCCGAATACGGTAATTTAAACAAAGGGAACGGGTAGCCACGTTCGTCGACGTAGAATCCAGACGGCCTGGATCGGTGCTCATAATATCAATAACAGGTTTGACTGGTACTGGATCGATTACATTTTCAGGCCGCCGTCATTTAGTTGGAATAGTGCTGCATGCGGCGTTAAACAACATTCACCCACTCTCCCGCTCAAGGCAGATGATGTTGCTCAGTAGAGAAGCTGTGCCCTTATCGCACGATACATGTCCTTTAGCTTGATGTTGGAAATGTTCCTTTTAGTGATCAGGCACGATGGTGGATGGTAAATAATTATATTGTATATGGTACTATTTTATTTCCAGCGAGTTTTTAGGACCACGCTGTTTCGTGTGGTGGATCCTCACGCAAGGCACTTTCTTTAGGACCGCCTCCGTGGTCTAGTGGTAGAGCATCCGCCCGGAGAGCGGGAGGTCCGGGGTCCGATCCCCAGCCGCGTCATACCAAAAGACGTTAAAAGATGGTACTTGTTGTTACCCTGTCTGGCGCTCGGCACTAAGGGGCTAAAACAAGGAGTCAGTATACTGGCTGAGATGGGGTATTCATGTTAAACTGCGGCATGGTATCTCAGTGGGCTAGCACTATAAATCGGCATCAGTCCAGACTAGTACAAGCAGCCACACTCACACATACACGTGCATGCACGTCGCTATATAAGTGCAATAATCTTGGACGCGACGTTAAACCACATTTCACCTCACCTTCAACTCACTTTCTTTAGTGGAATGAATGTTCAATGTTGACCAGGATAATGTACTTATTTCAACTGTCATTAACAGTCATCTTCGGTAACTGTGACATGGTTTCCACTTGCGAGTCCCGTATTCGACTTCAGGGGACGAAAATACGAACTATGAATCGTAAACCTCCAGGCATGTATACTCCGTGCGTAACAGGCTCTGATACCCCAAGTCTCTTAGAGCCGAGGACCCAAAAGGGGGGGGGGGGGGGGGGGGGGGGGGGGGGACAAGGGTGTCCCAGTCATCTAAGGCGCCATGAGATAGCTGGAATATTGCTGACTTCAGCGAAAAATAGAACGTTCTCACTGTGGATTCCGAATTACATCTTCCCGAGGCAAGGGAGTTAACTGACCACTTTCCACCCTTGCCGAACTTGGCTGGAATTTCTGGGCTCGATCGTTGCGCCACGAGTGGCTGTTACGAGTTATGTCCATTTTATGTCGCACCTATTGACCAATCAGATTCCACTTCTCATATCACTGCATTTGCTTCAAACAAAATGGCGCCGCCCAATCGAACCGGATGTCGATTTCGTTACGCGATTTTGATTGGACTATGCATAGACTCGTTAGTCCAGCCAAAATATAACTCCCTAATTCCAGCCTCGCTCGGCAAGGGTGGAAACTGGAGTTTTATAGTCAGTTAACTCTCTTGCCTTGAATTAGTACAGACAATCAGCCACCTACACTTGGCGAAAGGGGCGACGGAATGGGTAACGTGGTCAGGCTCGTTGACCTGGTATCATAACCGATGGTGTGTGTGCTCATAATATCAATCAGTAGCTCCTCTGATCCAGACTCCAAGCCCTGTCCCAAGGGAACGACCATTTGATATTCTGGGACGAAGTGCCTGGGATTTTATCCCAATAAAATAGATTGTCACGGAAAATTCTTGAAAAAATTACTGTTGAAAAAAGAAAGAAATGCCTGCCACGAAAATTACTTTGTTGCAAGGTTCAAAAAAGAGTTCAGGATTACAGTTTTAAATAAAATAATATTCGAGCTGTAGCTGAAAATATATCTTATCTCGCTACAAAATCCCAGCCATTCCCAGAAATTCAAATGGTCGGTCCCTAATCACATGATACACGTCCCTTGGCTTGAAGTTGGTTGATGTTCTTTTTAACGATAACGCACGATCGTGGACGATAATGTGTTATATATTTTAAAACTTACTCAGTCTGCTCTTTTTTTTCAGGAACATATGTGCTCGCCTACTGCTGAATGAAAAAGGAACGCTAACAATAACTGAAGATCCATCTGCATGCGTCCCCAACACAAAGAATCAGTTATTAAGTGTGACAGGTCCAGGCGGTGAAGTTAAGGAGTTCTACTATGGTAAAGCCCCTGATGATCAACCTGTACTCCGTGTTGATCCTGAAGACAAAGCAGATTCTTGTCCTGTCACTACATCAAACACAGGTCCGAACAAATCAGTGCTGACAGAGTCTCAGGCAAAGTCACTAGCTGTGATGCTGTCTACGGTACAATCTCAGATTACAGCGAGGAAGCCTTGGGCATTAGATCACAGCTATACTATGAAAGACGGTGATGCTTCTAACACTAAGCCACGTGTCTCTCCTGCAGTGAAGAAGGCAGAACAGGCTAAAGTGGAAAGTGAAATACTGAAACGGGTCAACGAGTCAATCAAATACAGTCTACCCAGTTCAAGTAAATCTTCAGTTTACAGTTCTACAAACGGAAGTCGATATGACTTAATGACTTCAAAGTCATCGTATTCTGCAGGGGATCAAAGTTCCCGTCCACCAGCCTGTGGGCATCTCCCAAAACCCAATTTAAGTCCAGCATCTATTGCTACAACAGATGGTGGTGCGCCTTCTTCAAAAAAACAAAGCAAATATGAAGGTGCTTCGGGAATATTAAAACAATTAAGCGCTTCGGTCCCAGTACTAGTTATGCCAGGAAACACTAGATCTCTAGCCACAGGGCCTGAGTGTCAATCCTCCCCAGCCTTAAACAGGATACCCCAAATCCCAGTAGCACCTGGGAAACAGTACAGACAACGACAGACAAGGGCACAAATGCGAAATGTGACCCTGAAGTCATCAGGTGTTATGGGTTATCTCAAGGACATGCTGGCATCGAAAATAAATGTCAAAGGACAGGAGGTGACTCCTCACTGTGGCAAGGGTGCACTGAACACAACACAGACTGTTCCAGTATCTAGGCAGGCACCTGTGCAAAATGTTTCAATGCCAAGACGACAATCTCCTGGAGTTGCTCATAGTGGTACTGCGCCAAAGGAGAATCAGAAAAGCATACAAAACCAAACCGCTATTGATCCTGTTTTGCAGAGGATGCTGAAAAATGTCCAGAAAGCATCTGCCTCTATCAAGGAAACACTTCCTGTACCAGTTTCAGATGCATTTAATTCTAATTCACCTCCATGTAAGCCTCAATCTAAAAAGGTTCCAAACGTCCAAGAAAAGGGTAACCACCCCAGAGAGGTGACAGTAAGAGTTTATCCCGATAAACCAGGAGAAGGTGTAAAACCTGACCCCAGGAATCTGGTCCAGGTCAATCCACATTCAGGACTGCCCGTACTGAATGCCCCTCAAATCGCATTCGTACCAGACGTAGTGCCAAGGTACTGCATGCCAGTTGTGATTACACAAACATCGTCTTCTAATTCTTTTCCTTTGGTGTATAACCAGTGTACTCCCTCAGGATCTGTTGGGAAAACCATTATTGTCACCACAAATACTCAAGTCCCAATAGGCTTGGGAACAAATCTTCCACCTACTTCCACAAATGCGAGTGAATGTAGTCCTGTGAGCAGTAAGGCTATCTCTTTCAGTGTTCCAAGTACACAGGGGCAAAAGACAGCGGCAGTTATTGACCAACAGACTCACGTACATCAGCACCAAATTGCAGACTTGGTGCTACCTAGGATAGAATCAGTTTTTTCACTGGCCCACACTGAGGGCACAGAGACTCAGAAAAATAATTTGAACAAGGATATGCTGAAAGTCAAATCAAACTCCGGAGTTAGTTGTTATTCTAAAGGTCCTGGAAAGACAAAAGTGAGGAAAGTTGATGATGTGGAAAGGGAAAAGGGTAATGGGCCACACACAATAGATGTTCCGACTGCTCCGTTCATTGGTGTCACACAGCCAATTAATAATAATGACACACCAGGTGGTATCAACAGTAGTACAGTACCAGATTCAAATGAAGATGGACTTTCCCCAAGAAGTAGATATCGAAAAGCTCCAAAGCGTCTTGTTGCTGAGGATCTTCCAACATTTCCAAAGAGCATCCAAAAACAGAAACCTAATCTAAGACCTATCATCTTTGATCCGTGCTTCGTGGTCCTTGAACGGATTGCCATTTCTTCAAACCGAAAGATAACCAAATTAAAACAGAAGAGAAAAAGCAAAGAATACATAAGCTGTTCAAAACGATGTCGAGAACTGTTTTTAAGGAGACTTTGCGAAAAGCAACAACTTCCAGGTAATCAATGTACTCGCAAAGTGAATGATCGTGACAGGCAGGCGGGCGAGCATGAACCAAGCGTTTTGAGATGGATAAAGAGAATTCAATCAAAAAGAAAGATTAACACGGAACCAGCGAGTCCAAACGAAGTGAAACGGTATGCGAGTGCGGCCTACCACGTGCCTGGGAAACTGATAACTGTTGGCACAATAGGAAATACTGATGCCAAAGGGAGCAAGTACGTTGTGGTGGAGGTACCCAATTTAGTGCCTGCTCCTGGAGCATTTGAAACTGTTGCCACGGGGAAGCCTACAGACATTTCACCCCTGCCCCTCAATCGGGAAACCTATAAGACGTTGAATGAGTCAACATTACCCCAGTCAGAGATGGGATCAGTGTGTCTGAATAGTGACAGGTCACCTCGGTCACTATCTTCAGAGACTGAGTCAACTGTTTCAGAGAATTGTGTTTTTAGTGATTTCAGTGATACATCTCCAGTAAAGTCTCCTAAGGTTGTTGCCAGTACTGATGCAACATCAACACGAATTAATTCCTCGTTGAAGGCATTTGACAGTTCTCAGATTACCTCCTTACCGTCGAATGCAACTGAAGAGTCTCAAGTCGAGCAGAGTCAGCCTACTTTAAACTCAGAATCAAGCCATCTGGAAGCACAATCCCCAATAAATCCGTCTGAAGACTCTTCGGAATATGTTGAGCCATTGTGTAATCTTCAGAATGAGGAACAGCTTGAAACGGAGATGACGGGGGGTGTTAAAAAGGAGGATTCGGATGAAGACTGGATGAATGTTGAGCTTGAGGTGGATCCGGACTCGGAATCTGATGAGGACTTGGATCTATTTCTCCCAGATGATCCTCCAGCAGATCCTGTTCCTCGTCCTGAGCCAGAGCATGAGCTCGAAGTCCCTTCAGCATCGATTACGTCTACATTTGTCCCAGACGTTGTTCTCAGTGATAAAGTCCAAAGACTCAAGGCAATGTTGGCAGAACAAATGAGACAGGTTGAAAATATTCGTAGGCAACGAACAAATACGAAGTAATGTAAATTGTGTAGGACGGCGTTGATCACAACGAACCTATTTGGATGACACAGCTAGTTAGATGCCAGGACAGCGAATATCCCCGAACTGACATCATTCAGTAAACACTGTAATTATCGGAACTGATGCAAATGGCATAAGAATTCATCTAGGTGCTAACGAGCCAAGACTCGTGTCATATTTACGCAAACAATCTCAGGTTTTACATAATATTTACATTGGCGGTTGACCCAAAGCTCTGTGTCAGGAGTTGCACTGTATGTGTCTTTGAGTATGTCGGGAACTCACATCGAATGCGTTTATTTTAGTTCAATTTGCTTTCTCCTTCATTTAATCCACACTTTTGGGTCTAACTTTTTTCAAGCTATGTTATTCGTTGTTTTTACCGTTTTTATGTTGTTCAGTTGCCAGTACCGGCGGGTCAGTAAAATTGAAGCGTTCTGATAGGCTGTATCGGACGTTCGTTTCTTAAATTAAAGAGGGATTTTATCTCCGGCCATCTGGCAGTCGTTGTTTGTTCCTCCAGTGCTGGGCCATCAAATATAACACTAAGGAAATGAACTTCATGGGAATGAATCTATAACTCCAGAGAACATTTACAACAGGATCACGGGTTCGAATCCCGGTTCGCCCCGAATATGTTTCTAGGTTTGTCAGCACCATACCCGTGCTCGTAGGTTTCATCGAAGTGGTAAACGTCTAAGACCTGCATCACTTCGGGCTTTACTCCCACATAAAACGGACACGCCGCGATATAACTGGAATACTGTTAAATGTGGCGTTAAACCAAACTCGCTCACATACGAGAACAGGATCAGGGGCTGTGAGGCAGCCTGGTGGTTTAAGAGTTTGTTTCGACGAAGACCTGGGTTTCTCATTCCCAAGTGGGTTCAATGCGTGAAGCCCATTTCTGGTGACCCCCGCCGTAATATTGCTGGAATATTGCTAAATACAGCGTCAAACCGAACTCACTCTTCAAGTATTACCTGGGGTGGTTGCAGGTTTGACTGCAGTAATTTCAAAACCACTTGCTGTTAAACAGAGCGACACAGACAAGCTGAAATTTCGTACATACGAGAATTGAGTCGGTGAGTTGGGTTTAGCGCCATTTTGACAGCTTTCAGATTATACCACGGTGTGTCAGCTTAATGTGGGAAGAAAGCTCGAAGTGATGCAGGTCTTGGATGTTTCCCACTTTGGTGAAACCCACAAGCAGGGGAATAGTGCTGACAAACCTAGGAACAATGAAGCCAGATCAGAGATTCCAACACACGATCAAAGGTTTCGCGTAAACAAAGGGGCGCAACTGTAACGGCCGAAAAACAAAGTATATGCTTGAAAATTGGATTTGACCAAAATAAAATACAAACGTTATCAAAACAACAAGGCTTGATTGTTTCGTTTTATGGCCACCATCACACATGGATATATGCTTTCTCCTGTCCGGCAGTTTAGATAACTGAACAGAACTGTGTTTGTTTGTTTGTTTGTTTGTTGCTTAGCGCCGCACTCAGCAATATTCCAGCTATATGGCGGCGGTCTGTAAATAATCGAGTCTAAAACAGACAATCCAGTGATTGACATCATGAGCATCGATCCACGCAATTGGGATCGATGACATACATCAACCAAGTCAGCGAACATGACCACTCCCACAGAACTGAGAATGTGATATATTTTAAACATGTAATGAGCCTACCGTCGGAATCTCATAACAGTCGCATACTCTGCAGTTTCAAATCCTCCTTTAAATAGAGATACTCTGTATTTCCTCTAAAAAGCGCACCGGTATTTATTCGTTGAGTGAGTGAGTTGGGTTCAACGCCGCTTTTAACAGTATTCCACTTATATCACGGCGTGTCAGCTTAATTTTGGAGGAAAGCCCAAAGTGATGCAGGTCTCAGACGTTTACCACTTCTGTGAAACCCACGAGCACGGGTATGGTGCTGACAAACCTAGAAACATAATCAGGGCGAACCGCGATTCGAACCCACAATCATAGGTTTCTGGCGTGCCCAAAGGACGCAACTGTGCACAGCGAAACGCGGCGCCTTAGACGACTTGGCCACTCGTGCCCCCACTTATTCGTTGAACAGAGTTCCAAAACCGGAGGGTAATATAGGCCAGGTGGTAACAAGAGACCTGACGTTTAATATGTCAACAGTGTTGCATAAGCTCCAGTTGACATAAGCGTAGAATAGAATAAGAATAGAATTTTATGTTCTTGATACAGAATGTATGTCAAGGTAGCGTGAGTGAGTTGTGTTTAACGCCGCTTTTAATAGTATCCCTGTCCCATCACGGCGTGTCAGCTTAATGTGGGAGGAAAGCCCCAAGTGATGCAGGTCTCAGACGTTTACCACTTCGGTGAAACCCACGAGCACGGGTATGGTGCTGACAAACCTAGAAACATAATCAGGGCGAACCGGGATTCGAACCCACAATCATAAGGTTTCTGGCGTGCCCAAGGGACGCAACTCTGCATAGCGAATCGCGGCGCCTTATACGACTGGGCCGCCCGTTCCCCCTTCAAGAGCGTGAACGTAAAAATAGTGATATACATTGCAACAAAAACACCTTGTATGGAGTGTTAAACAAAGAACTACAAAAATTGACAAACATGTAAAGGACGGTAAATACGGAGGTCAGCGCTTATTTGAAACCCAGCGCTTATATCGGAAATCCAGATATCTCATGTTTGTCGTGAGAGCCGACTAACAGAGGTGGTCAGGCTCTGTGACTGTATTGTTTGCCTTTCATCGTATCCCGCTTGCATGGACTGTTGCTCGCGCTTTCAGTCACTGGCTTAGGCGCTTGCCAGGCCCAAACTCATTCATCCACAGACCGATATCACGGGTGGCCCAGTAGTCCAAGGCACAGCAATTAACTGTTCAGAGTTGGTTCGAATCCCGAGTTCACGCTGATTTTTGTTTTTTCGTGGGCCTGATCAAAGTCGAAGTCAAAGACCTGCACCCCACATAAAGCTGGTACGCCGCAACAAAACTACAGCGGCCTTAAGCCTGTCTCACTCATGCAGATATATGGATCAACTGTCTCCCTTCTTGTTTTGGCGTGGGGATTTCCGGTGAGATCAGGTCCCCAACAGCCTGTGTTTGTCTTGCGAGTCGACAACATGGTCAGTTTGATCTCCGTGACTTCTCTGACCAGTAAATCCAGTGATTGACATCATGATCATCAATCCACGCAACTTGGATACAATGACATGTATCAACCAAGTCAGCGAGCTTGACCACACGATCCCGTTAGTCACCTCTTACGACAAGCATAGTCGCCTTTTACGGCAAGCATGGGTTGCTGAAGACCTATTCTAGCACTAAGGTGATCGTCACTCCCATACCTAAAACATAGACTTACGACAGTCTTAGCGCTAAGGTTGTTTTGTACAACGGCACCCAGGTGGTCAGTTTGATCTCGGTGACTTGTTTGACCGTATGTCATCGTACTCTGACAGCATCGATCGTTGCTCAATCACTGGTTTGTCTGGGTCTAAAACCCGGAATATTTTGATTGCGCAAGCAACAACTATCTACACACGCAACAAAGTACAACCGTGTTTTAAAACAATATTTTGTTTATTGATTTGTTTACTATTCACGTTGTTTTACAATATATTAAAGCTAATTCAACAAAACCATATAAATATATACAATTATACTTCAAAATAGAAGTCACATCAGCCCTTGAAGTTTTCTATTCAGCGTCCTGCCTTCTCTTGAGCCTCCACAACCTCCCACCAGAGGGCGCCCGACTTCAGACAGTAGTCAGGGTCGTATCTGAGAACCTCGTCATCCACCCAGTACTCTGGTGCTATCACCAAATCCTGTCCAAACGTGGGATCTTCAGCCTCTCTCCTGACCACGACCTCCCACCACGCGGTGTTGGGAGCCAGGGTGAAGTCTTCGTCTGGAGCTAGGGAGCCAGTGTCGTCTGCTTCACCTCGCTCGGCGGCATCAAGAGGAGATCCTCGAACACAGTAGCGACATCGGAGTCTCCGGACACACGTCCTCAAAGACCACAACAATCCCACGATGACCACTGGATTTAATGAAAACAAGAAATTAACTGAATTATGCATCGTATTGAACAGATCAGGCACGAGCTGATGATGAATACCATTAAATCCTGACTATTTCTAGTGGCCAAGTAGTCACAGGTTTTAAACTCATGACATAATATCAAACATATACGCGAATATAACTATACTAAGTATTCGCAGAACTTTGTATGAGGCCATTAGCTGATTTACATTTTACATACACACGACTACAATTCCCGAGTTCAAGTTGTTTAATCGTTGTAAATGTATGCATGCAGAAAGTTATGAAACTGGGTCTTAGTGCGGAGAATATGATGTTCAAGTTATGTAGTTGTTGTAGATGTAGATGTAGATGTAGATGTACTTACTGACACCAACAAGGTATGCACATAGATAAAGAGCCAAATCTCGAGGACCAGTTTCGAATTCTGAAATCAAGAAATACACATCAGACAACATTCATTTGACGCAACACAGGAAATATATCTAAATGCCGTACCCGGACGACGAAATTGACTTAATTGTCGAAAAAAGAATACATAGATCAAAATTAAGAGTGTGAGATATATAGAACATTATGAACAAGCATTAGACAAAAGAAGTCAAAACATAAATCACCTATTCAGTAATAATGTTTTTAATTCGTGCCGAATATTGATCACATATTGAATTACAGATAACATACATAAAGTGTTGTCGTAGTGTTCATGGTTGCTAACAAGATATACAAACATGTCCACTGAATTGCAGTTTGTTCCTTCAGCTTTTATTACTTTATGAAAACAGACACGTAACCACATTTATTTCTTTATGTATTCCATGTACTAAAATGAAGGATATTTACCATAAGTTTCTCGATAATGAGTTTCGTTAACGACGCTCGGTAACCTGAAACAATACTTCAACTTTTAAACGTGTATAATTATGTTTTCTTGATAGGGATAGACACTTCATTCGATTCAAATCCATCTAAACTGCCCGGCAAAGGAAAGTATACACCCATTTTTGAATAAGGCTAAAATTAAATAAACAAGAAATTGTCATTGGATGTATTTGATACGGGTATCATAGTTGCGTTTTGAACCTTAAAGTTTGCAGTGTTTTGGATACTGGTTTCAGACCAGTAACGTTTTGATAACGTTTCTAATTTTTGATGGTCACATCCAATTTTCAAGTGCATACTTTCTTTTGCCTTACAGTGTAAGTCAAGACTAAATCTTATTGTAATATTATTTAAGGTGAGGTGAGGTGAAAAGGGGTTTAACGTCGCGTCGTAGATTATTGCACTTATATAGCGATGTGCATTCACGTGTGTGTGTGGCTGTTTGTACTAGTCCGGACTGATGCCGATTTATAGTGCTAGCCTACTGACATATCATGACGCAGTTTAACATGAATACCCCACTCAGACACAGTATACTGACTCCGAGCCGACCAGTCCTTGTTTTAGCCCCTAAATGCCGAGCGCCAGACAGGGTGACAACAAGTACCACCTTTTAATGTCTTTTGGTATGACGCGACCATGGATCGAACTCCGGACCTTCCGCTCTCCGGGCGGACGCTCTACCACTAGACTACGGATCCGAGGCGGTCTAATAGTATTTAATGTTAAATCAAGGTAAACATAAATCCTCCAGTCATGAAATAAATTACTTTTCTCATCTAATCAACGATTATTTTAAGATAACGATTCAGTAATACAAAAAAGTAGTTCATACAAAAAAATTTAAAAAATGAAGTAATATTTTAGTTTAGTTTGTTGCAGACCTGATATCAATATATAATCGAGCTTCAGATAATCCATATTAACTGTGCGCATGCATAAAACCACACAAATCATACAATATACATTCTTGATGCTCATTAAATATATCATGCAACTTTACGTGAATTCTCCCGTTCCTACTATTCCAATAAGGTCACCATAAATGACTTACCTCGATGAAGGCGTCGGTATTGTCTGCATATCAGGAATATGTGACGATAGATCGGGAGCTACTCGAAAAGACGGCATCATGCGTGGAGAGCAGGGCGTCATTGTCTGTGACGTCATGGCCTTAGATACCATTCGTCCAAGGGCAGGTAACTCTAAGTTTAACGTGTTTTGTGACGAGCTCAGAATTAAGTGAAAGTATTTGGTTTTACGTAATATTCAATAAATATCGTTATGGCGGGACACCAGAAATAGGCTTCACATGGAATCGAACCCAGGTTAAGTAAATCAGAACCTTGGTACGTATATTGCTCGATTTCTGTCACTGTCGATTTCAGATCAAATAAATTTACTTTAAGTTTTAAAAGTTTTATTCACGTTAATATATTGCAGATATATATTTTGATGTAAAAAATAAACTTGGAATGGAATGTTTTTAGTTTTTGAAACTTATCATCAAAATAAAGCAGCCGTTATATAGTTGTATTATAAAACTGTTCGTCCTACATGTACATGTATATCTAGTTCTTTTTCGGTGTTATAAAGGCAGTTATGATATAGGAAATTCAGTATTGTGCAAGTCCGTGTTAGTCTACTAGTATGGGCGCGCTTAGTGCCACAATTCCCACAATCATAACGCTCGTTATTCCGATCTTTTAGAAATTTGCGTCGGAAAATAATATCTGCAGCCAGGTTTGTTGCACGGCGGCAGGTGCAGTGCCTTGTTTGTTATGGGTTGGAGAAAATTACATGGGAGCATGGGCCATGGTGAGTAATCGTTGGATAGATGGAAACCAACTTTTAAAAGAGCCCTTATCTTTTTCTTGCATGTGTATAAAAATATATGTGTACATTCGAAATACATAAATGATTATGAAAATATTTATTCAAACATTCCTAAATGTAAATTATTACACTAAACATGTTTGTGTCACTCGGCCACAATGATCGAAGGGGAGACTCGACGATGTGTGTAATTGTTGGATAGATGTAAACAAATTATTTAAAGAAACCATATCTTTGTCTCATACAGGTGTAATGGTATGTGTACGTACGAAATGCAGAAATGATTATGAAAATATTTTTTTCATAATTCCTGTAAATTATTACACTAAACATGTTCAGTGCCGAGGAGATGCAGAGCCGTGATTGCTGCCCGGGGCGGTCACACGAGATACGGGTTCAGCGCCACCTTGTGGCCTTATGTGACGTGACAATGAACAGTTTGAATACCTTTGAACAACGACAACATGTGACTATCGAGTTCCAAAATTTCATATTTGTATCTATGCTATTGAATTAAATATATCGACTTTAGTAGGTACAATAAATTTACCAAAAATCTACCTGTGCGTTTCATTTTTTGAAGAGTGTATATGAACAAACAAAATTCTAATGTGCCACATGGCGAGGGATAGTGATATAACGCTGCTTATTCATAGAACGGGGTTCCAAAACCGGCGGGTATTATATGACCAGGTGGTAATTAGAGACCCAACGCTTAATATTTGAACCACAGAGTTACATAACCTACATTTACTTTGTTTGTTGTTTGTTTCTTTGTTGTTTGTTTGTTTGTTGTTTAACGCCTCACTCAGCAATATTCCAGCTATATAACGGCGGTCTGTACATAATCGAGTCTGGACCAGACAATCCAGTGATTGACATCATGCGCATCGATCCACGCAATTGGGATACGATGACATACATCACCCAAGTCAGCGAGCTTGACCACATGATCCCGTTAGTCGCCTCTTACGACAAGCACAGTCGCCTTTTACTGCAAGCATGGGTTGCTGTAGACCTATTCTATCCGGGACCTTCACGGGTCGCTGCAGTTACTAATAAATTGACATACAATAGAATTGTTTGGTCCTGATACAGGATATATTTCAAGATAGCGAGCGAAGGAGAGCATAGTAATATGAAATTGCAAGAAAACACTTTGTGTAGAGCGTTAACCAAACAACAACAAATTTGATATCATATGGACAAAGAATATCAACTCTGTAATTATGGAGGCAGGAACCAATTAAAGATGAAGCACTTATTCCGCAGTATGCTGCTTCCCACCTGGCGTTAATTGGAATCAGGCGCTTATTAGAGACCAAGCGCTTATATCGGAAATCTAAATATCTCTTGTTTGTCTTGAGAGCCGACTAACATTGACATTAAGCGGTCTGGCTCTGTGACTTCACTGTTGCCTTTGCAGCGTATCCCGCAGGCATGGGTTGTTACTAAATCCTTCAGTCACTGGCTTATAAGCTTGCCAGACACAAACTCATTCATTCACAGGCCGCCGTCACGGGTGGCCCAGTAGTCCAAGGCGCAGCAATTAGTTGTTCAGAGTTAGCTCGAATCCCATATTCGCCCAAATTCAGATTCTTGGTTTGTCGTGGGTCTCATCAAAGTGATTAACGTCTAAAACCTGCATCTCATATTAAGCTGGTTAAAGGCGACTCTGCTTGTGGTAAGAGGCGACTGACTGGATCGGGTGGTAAGGCTCGCTGACTTCGTTGATGCATGTCACCGTATCCAAGTTCCGTAGATCGATGCTCATGGTAACAATCACTGGGTTGACTGGTCCAGACTCTATTATTTACAAACCGCCGTCGTATAGCTTGTATTTTGCTGAGTGCGGCTTTAAACAACAAACAAACAAACAAATTAAGCTGGTACGCCGTGCCAAAGCTTCAGTTTATTGCGCCGTTAAACCTCATTTAATCAGTTGTTTCAGTTCTTGTCTTTGCGTGGGGATTTCCGATGAGAATAGGCCCCCAACAACCTGTGTTTGAAATGCGAGACGATAACATGGATGAGGGTGCCGTTGTACAAAGATATCTTAGCACTAAGGTGATCGTCACTCCCATACCTTAACATAGACTTACGACAGTCTTAGCGCTAAGGTTGTTTTGTACAACGGCACCCAGGTGGTCAGTTTGATCTCGGTGACTTGTTTGACCGTATGTCATCGTACTCTGACAGCATCGATCGTTGCTCAATCACTGGTTTGTCTGGGTTTATAATAGCCGGAATATATTGATTGCGCAAGCAACAACTATCTACACACGCAACAAAAAAACAACCGCGTTTTAAAACAATATTTTGTTTATTAATTTGTTTACTATACACATTGTTTTACAATATATTAAAGCTAATTCAAGAAAACCTTATAAATATATACAATTACACTTCAAAATAGAAGTCACATCAGCCCTTGAAGTTTTCTATTCAGCGTCCTGCCTTCTCTTGAGCCTCCACAACCTCCCACCAGAGGGCGCCCGACTTCAGACAGTAGTCAGGGTCGTATCTGAGAACCTCTTCATCCACCCAGTACTCTGGTGCTATCACCAAATCCTGTCCAAACGTGGGATCTTCAGCCTCTCTCCTGACCACGACCTCCCACCACGCGGTGTTGGGAGCCAGGGTGAAGTCTTCGTGTGGAGCTAGGGAGCCAGTGTCGTCTGCTTCACCTCGCTCGGCGGCATCAAGAGGAGATCTTCGGACACAGTAGCGACATCGGAGTCTCCGGACACACGCCCTCAGAGACCACAACAAACCCACGATGACCACTGGATTTAATGAAAACAAGAAATTAACTGATTTATACAACGTATTGAACAGATCAAGCACGAGCTGATGAAATATCATCTTCCATTAAATCCCGACTATTTCTAGTGACGTATTAGTCACATGTTTTAAACTCATGACATAATATCAAATATATACGTGGATATAACTATACTGAGCGTTCGCAGAACTTTGTATGAGGCCATTAGCTGATTTACATTTTACATATACACGACTACAATTCCCGAATTCCAGTTGTTTAATCGTTGTAAATGTATGCATGCAGAAAGTTATGAAACTGGGTCTGGGTGCGGAGAATATGATGTTCTAGTTATGTAGTTGTTGTAGATGTAGATGTAGATGTAGATGTAAACGTACTTACTGACACTAACAAGGTATGCACATAGATAAAGAGCCAAATCTCGAGGACCAGTTTCGAATTCTGAAATCAAGAAATACACATCAGACAACATTCATTTGACGCAACACAGGAAATATATCTAAATGCCGTACCCGGACGACGAAATTGACTTAATTGTCGAAAAAAGAATACATAGATCAAAATTAAGAGCGTGAGAAATATAGAACATTTATGAACAAGCAAATAGTCAACAGAAGTCAAAACATAAATCACCTGTTCAGTTATGATATTTTTAAATCTTGCCGATTAATGATCACCTATGAATTACTGTATTGGTTAGATAAGATACATAAATTAACGTCGTTAGTTTTCACTGGTGCTAAGAAGTAATACAAACGATATCAATGAATTACACGTTTTATCTTTTTTTACTTAATGATAATAGACATGAAACCACATTTAATTCCTCGTGTATTACATGTACATGTACTAAACATGGGTGATATTTACCATAGTGTTCTCGATAATGAATTCCGTTAAAGTTGCTCGTTAACCTGAAACGATATTTACTTTTACGCATGTATATTTTCTCTCGATTGGACTGGACACTACAATCGAATCAAATACATATACGGTAAAATTAAATCTTATTATATTAACAATTAATTAAGGGTATAGTCTATGTAACATTTATCCTCTACTAAATGAAATCAACGATTTCTTAAGACAACAACGATTTCTTACCTTCGCAGAAAAATATATTAAATTCAAATATACAACTGTATAACTGAATTGGATATAAAACGTAGTCTCTTGCAGACCAGATATCAGTATAAAAGCGGGCTTCGGAGTTTATCTCCATATAAAGTCAATATTAACTTAATAAAAACAAAACAAACCATGCGTACAATACAGATTCTGGATACTCATTGAATATATCATGTAACATAGACTAATAGTTTAAATGAGCCCTCCCGTTCCTATTGTTTCAATAATAACATCATAAATTGTTTCAATGATAACATCATAAATGTCTTACCTAGTTGAAGGCGTTGTTATTGACCGCATTTCGGGAATATGTGACAACAGATCGGGAACTAATCGCAAAGACGGCATCATTCATGGAGCGCAGCGCGTCATTGTCTGTGACGTCATGGCCTTAGATACTCTTGACCAAGGGCGGGTAACTCTAACTTTACCGTGTTTTGTGACGAGCTCAGAATTAAGTCAGGGGATTGGTTTTTACGCAATATTCCAGCAATATAACGATGGGGGACACTCGAAATGGACTTCGCACATGGAATCGAACCCGGGCTTAGTAAATCAGAACCTTGGTACGTATGTTCCTCGAAATCTGTCACTATCGGGGTTGCAGATCAAATATGATTTCATTACGTTTTACGTTTTATTCACGTTGAGTGAGTTGGGTTTAACGCCGCTTTTAACAGTATTCCAGTTATATCACAGCGTGTCAGCTTAATGTGGGAGGAAAGCCCGAAGTAATGCAGGTCTCGGACGTTTACCACTTCGGTGAAACCCACGAGCACGGGTATGGCCCTGACAAACCTAGAAACATAATCGGGGCGAACCGGGATTCGAACCCACAATAATAGGTTTCTGGCGTCCCAAGGGACGCAACTCTGCACAGCGAAACGCGGCGCCTTAGACGACTGGGCCACCCATGCCCTCGAAACGTTTGGAGAATAATCAAAGTTTCAATACAAAGCCTTATAAGGATATAATATTTTTTATATCCCATGAATTCGTATTTTTCTATATTTCCGACAGCACTTCAGTTTCACTCTAGACCGCCTCCGTGGTCTAGTGGTAGAGCCTCCGCCCGGAGAGCGGAAGGTCTGCGTCATACCAAAAGATGTTAAAAGATGGTACTTCTTGTTACCCTGTTTGGCGCTCGGCATTAAGGGGCTAAAACAAGGACTGGTCGGCTCGGAGTGAGTATACTGTGTCTAAGTGGAGTATTCATGTTAAACTGCGGCATGGTATCTCTGTGTGCTGTCCCTTTAAATCGGCATCAGTCCGGACTTCAGTAAACTACGGTTATAACGAACTGAAATGAGTGTTTTGGGTTCGTTTTTAGCATATATACAGCACATATACAACAAATGGCCGGGACCAAAAAATAAATTCGCCATATCCGTCTGTTCGCTTTAAGCGTGTTCGTTATAAACGTAGTTTACGGTAGTACAATCAGACACACACACACACACACACACACACACACACACACAAACACACACACACACACACACACACACACACACACACACACACACACACACACACACACACACACACACACACAAACAAACACACACACACACACACACGTATATAAGTGCAATAATCTTGTACTCGACGTTAAACCACATTTCACCTCACCAAGTTACACTCAAGACCTTGACTGGGGTTGGCTTCCATGCCGTGGAGCTTGTGTCAGAGTCTCCCTTTAACATTCTCCACTATGGCGCTGGTCATCACTATAATATATTTGACAGTGATTAATAAACACACGCTTATGGTATAATCGTAAAACGGACTCGGCTTGTAGCAGATATTTCTTATGAATGTCGAAAGCTTGTTGCATATATTTGATACTGGTCGAAATGAATTATTGTTTCATGACCGCTTTCATAACTTGAAAACTGGTGTCACGTTGTGATAATGATGCGCTCATAAAATGACACTCAATCTCAGCTTGCCAATGCCATTTAAACGTAGCAAAATCTACGCATGCTCACAATATCGTCCATTGGTTATCGGCTCCAAACTGTACAGTAGTTCAGTCCCCTTTACTAACAAAGGCTGAAAACCAGTTCACTCATTCACTCATTCGCTGTCCTGAAAAAGTTTACAACCTTGTTTGTTTGTTTGTCGTTAAACGCCGCACTCAGAAATGTTCCAGATATGTGACGGTGGCCAATAAATAATCGACCATAATGGACCAGGCAATCCAGTGATTGACACATTAAGCATAGGTCCACGCAGTCTGGATGGTGACATGTACTCAACCACGTCCACTGGAGGATGATTGTGAGTATCCTTGACAGATGTCAAGATATCATTCAATGTTGATGCTGATGCCACACAATCCTTCCTCCAGTCTGCCTTTCTCTTGTTGATTCTGTACATGTTTCCACCGACAACCAGATATCTCCCTCCTCTAGATGTAGGTAGGAAGATAAGTGAATTAATTTCAGAGATATACGTATTGAAATTTGAAACGTCCCAAGGCCTTGGGTTCCAAATTAATTTCAGCGCCGACAAACCTACAGGTAAATATAAACGCTAACGTCAGAGAATAACTAGTCCCAAATATCCACCGAAAAGAGCGGCGAGAATGATATGAATGGATCACTGAAAATCAGTAATGGCACCTGGGTATCGTTGTACAAAACAACATTAGAGCTGCGACTGTCGTAAGTCTGTGTTAAGGTGTGGGAGTTACGATCACCTTAGCGCTAAGATCGCCTGGTACAACGGCCCCAGGTATTAGCGAAAAGGGTAAGCATGTCCCGCCTAATCACTCGCCACTCACACAATTTGCACCAATCGTGTTTGTTTATTGCCAATTCTACCATGACATTGGTGAATTCTTGATTCTGATTGGTTAAAAAGAGGTTTCCCTTTTGCTACGGAAACTCCTTTCAGATATATTAAGCCTTTTCACAAAAAAGCGTGCGTATGAATACATAGATAGCCTACATATCGATTCTTGAAAATGGCTGCCGATCGATCACCCCCATATGAACTCTAAAACGTATCTATATTTCCTTTAATGCACGCTGGGTCTCTAGTACCAGCCAGGTTTCTAATACACGCCGAGTCAAAGACTCTCCCGAAATTAATAGACCGCATAGCGTCAAATAGAGGAAATACGGTAGTTTGATATCGAATGTTTTGGGCGTTGGCTAGGCGCAACCTGACTGCTTCGATGATGACATTAAAAGATTTAACGAAGGCATTATATTTGCATACAGGCGAATTGTTTATGAAACTGTTAAGGGAAATGTTCTATGATGACCAGAATCGGAGGTGAGGTGAGGTGAAATTGGGTTTAACGTCGCGTTTATTTTTGTGTTATTATTGTTTACTGGGGGTAATTACTAACTAACTTATAACACTCATACATGTTAATGTATAATAGAATGCTAATTCAAAACGTTTGTTGCAGAAATATATTCGTTTAGCATTTCATAACATTTTTCTACAACTTGTCAACCCTACAATAGAAATGATCGCATGTTCGATTTCCAAGAAATGACCTCTCTCGCAAAATTCCAAGAATTGAAGTCAGTCCACAGTGTACAACAGTGTACAACAAGTTGGTAGAAATTAAAACATCTGCCTTTGGACTAAGTTTGGAGTGTTATTTGTCAACTTCTTTTGAAACACTATGTGTTTCGAACACTTATTTTGAACTACTCACGACTATGGTGTTTTTAATCTTGAACTTTAGTGATAATTGTTACGTATATAACTACCTGTGACCACTTTTCGGAATGTTCTAAGATTGCCGACCCGTGTGCCTCAAGCTCCTTCGCAGCGCGTGACACCTTCGTTACACTCTCGGTAACATCGCTGCCACCAGTGTGGGCGCGGCCATTACAAGAATCTTGAAATTTTCCCTCTAACCCCAAATGTAGTAACGTTAATACTTTTTTTTATGTTTTGGGGAATGCCATCATATTTCATTTTGAAAAGCTTTACGACAGACCATGTTTTCCAGATGAATTTACTTGTTTTAATAATCAGATTGGTTCGAGATTGCAGACTAACGGAAAATCAACTAACTTCTCCCTTACATTCTTACTATATCAATAACACATAGTTTTAATGAAACAGAAATTCAAATTGACAAACATAGAAAGTAATTTAGCAGCGATAAGTGTATTCGGCGTCACGACAGTCGTCACTTGTTTGTAAACATAACGGTCATTCGGTTGCGAGTTCAACTCCAAGCATGGTTGTGGCCACCTATCACAGTGGGGAGTTATGACTGGTGGCAGCGATAGTATAGAGAGCTCCGCGAACGGGTTATTGCTTTGAGGAGCTTGCTGTGTGCCTGTGTTGTTACGCGTTGCAAGAGAGCGTCGTTTTCAAAGCGTTGTTGCCGTCATGGTAGAATGGAGATAAACCTACTGTGTTTTGAAATTTGATGTAGTCCCACTGTAGTGCAGATACCTCTTTATTTGAATTTTAAACCGAGCGCTTTATGGTTGTGGGTTCGAATCCTGGTTACTAAAAATGTATCTGGTAAGAAGAAAATAGGCACACTGTGTTTTCATTTTAGAGCTAGGTTACCTGTATATTTTACCGCGCTAAATTGAATTTGGAACCTAAAGAAAACTAAGCAAGCGTTGCAAAGCTTTGTTCTACACCGCACGTCATTATTATGACGTCATATCGCTCATCGTGACGCTATGGCGTAACAGTCGTATATAGAAAAGCGCAAAATTCCATGCTCTCATTTGTATCCAAAACTTAAAATACATTCTCCTTGTAGTTTGCTATCGTGTTTTCTGCACAAAATGTATTGCCAACATCCTTTGAATATTGACACGTGTGTAACCGCAACTTTGTAACCAAAAGTTGTAGTTATAATTATTTAAATATGTCTAACGATAATGACTAAAAAAGGACTTTTGCATAAATATTACCTTCCGCTTCAGAGGGGTTTTATTGTGATTTGACAACCTCTGATTGACCAATCAGAATCCGGTCATTTCCAAATTCATTGTAGAATACATATTTGACTCAACGTTCTTTTTTTAAACTTTAACATAGGGAAATATCTATCTCAAGAAATTTTCGCATTCTAATTAATTCAGTACAAACAACGTCTTTTAGATTTGAAACCATACACACTGTGTTAGTAATTAGGTCAACTGATTTATGATAGCTGTAACCATGGCAACCAAACAAACACAGTTGAGTTAGACTGCCACTACAATATGATTGCCTTTGAATGCGAATTCTCCCTACTGTGAACATTATAATTAACAATCCATTAGGAATAATGTAAACATGCTTTAAGTATTAATATGTTGTGTTTGTGGCTAGGGCACTTTTTTAATCAAAAATATTTTCTCGTATAATTCTGAACAACATACACCGTACTGGG